CAGGCCTTCTCACGAGCTTCGGTCCTGTCCACACCGCGGGACACACTCTGTTTCCCGGTTCTGAGGAGTGGGCTCGCGATTAAACGTTGTCCAGCTGCGTGGATGAAAGTATGATTTGATGAATGTCTGTAAGGATTGTGATAAATGTCATTCATAGTCCATCCCCCTTTGGCTTTGAGTGCAACGGGTCTTTATTTTGCTGCTTAGTTCCTAAAGAATAGAACTGAAATATATATATATATATATATATATATATGTATGTGTGTGTGTGTGTGTGTGTGTGTGTGTATATATATAATTTGAAGGGCCATTTTTTTTGAATATGAAAGCCTTAATGAATAAATAAAGTGTATGCAAAAATGAACTTAATTATCCACTTAAGAATGATTAAAATGCAATTTCAACCAATGAAAAAGTTAGAAAGAGTAATCATTTTAAAAGAAGATAAATGAGTTGGAAAGTTAGTTCTAGTTCAATTTATGAATTAGACTTAAAGAAGGTCAAAAAGTAAAAAGTAAAAAGACCAACAATAATAACAAATTATTTAAGATTTTATGTATGAATGTATGTATGTATGTAGGTATATATGTATGTCTTTTATTATAAGCGAAAATATAATTTTCAAGTAAATTAATCATATAACATCAAAGAATATAACTTTATGCAACAATAATTTTACATGCATTTGTATTACAATCTATCATTAATAATGTTTTGAAAAAAGATTCTATATCAAAATTATATAAGAAAAATTATAACAAAGATTATATCATTGTATCTAATGCTACTATAAAATTTTGTATAAACAAGCCATATATACTATAGTTAGGTTAAAATGTATACAACAAAATGGAAGTACTTGCTTGTGTATCTTTTAAAATACTACTATTAAATATTAAAAATTAAAAATTAAAAACATAATAAATTTATTATTAAAAATTATATAAATAAAAAATATTAATATATGTATTTATATTTCATATTCAAATATAATACTTAAGGTAGTTAAGACAATACTTATTATTTGGAGTAATTACAAATATATAAAAGAATGAATTTAAATTAATTGTAAAAAATAAATAATAAATTAGAATATCAATGTTAATAGTATATATATATATATATATATATATATGTTTTAATATATATAATAATATAATGTAAAAAAATAAGTTGGCACTACACCTATTTTTATTGTCATGTCAAAAGAAGTTGATAAAGTTTATTACACTAAAATTATAAAATACTCATTGCAAAAACTGTCATCTATATGCACAATGTTACAAACAAAGACAATCTGTATCTCAAAACTTTTGTAGGTTGGATAATAGAAATTCCAAAAAATGTAAAAAAAAATTAAAAAAATAAAACAAATAATAAGCATTAAAAAAATTATTAAAAAAGTTGAATGAAGAATTTATTTAATTATTCTTACAAAGAAAGTACTGGAAATTTTAATTCATTTTTAATATTCAGGTTTTTATTTTTAAAATTAATTAAAATAAAAATTATAAAATTTATTAAATATTATTTAAGACAATTTTTATCCAGATAAAAGAAGTAAGACATGACTTAATAAAAATTTACTCAAGTTTAGAGGATTATTGGGTTTCTTCAAAAACTTCAATTTTTCAAAAGAATGATAAAAAAAAATTATTATTTTTAAAATATAAATACCACAAATTTTAATAACGGAATATCAAATATTTAAAATTATAATATTTTGGTTTATTATATATATATTTATATTTATATATATATATATATATATATATATATATATAAACATCTATATCTATATATATACATATATTGAAAAATAAATTTAGTATTTATAATATTTGGTTAATTTATTTCAATTGCTAATACAACTAGCATCTTACTAATATAATTAAGTTTAAAAACATGCTTAAGAATCTTATAAATATATATATATATAACTTGTATAGGACTAAAATTATTTTTAGAATAATTAGTATTATTGAAAAAAATTACTAGCTGTAATATTATTAAACTAGAAATAAAAATATAAACTGATAGAATTAAAAATTTCATTGCTGGAATTTTTTGTTTTTGTTTTTTTTTAATATTATTTTTAGTGTTTCTTTGTTACTTTTTTATAATAAAAAAATAATACTCCAAAAGAGATACAAAATTAAAATAGATATCACAAATTTTATTTTAAATTTATTTGAATACTTTTTTTAATAATTAAATTAATAATATTGAATGATCTAGTTTACATTTTGTATTTTTGAAGTATTTAAATAAATTTAGATTGTGAACTAAAAGCTCTCTCTTATCACCTAATTTTAATTTACCACCTAAAATATATTTTATTCTCTCATATATATATATATTGTTTACTTTTGCAACCTATTCTAAAACATTGGAATAGAATTTGTGGATATTGAAAGCCTTAAAACACAATTAGATGTTTTAAAACACAATATTATAGTCAAAGTTTTTAAATAACTAATATAATTAGAAAATAAATACCAATAATAAAAAATTATAATTATATACAATAATAATTAACTATTATTATGAATGTATAGATTTTGTGCACTTTGGATGTAGGTAGTATTGTAAAAGTAGATCCTTAAGGCTATTTTTACTATCTCAATTTACATACTTGAATTTTAAAGTAGCTCAAATAAGAGACAAGAGGATTTTTTGCCTAAAAGAAAAAGAAAGAGGAATTTTTTTTTTAAGATAAGCTATAATTTTTGAAAGTTCATTTTACTTCATGATTTTTTTTTATTTTTTTATTTTTTTTTCCCTTTTTTTCCTTTTTTTCCTTTTTTCAACTCCATTTCAAGTGAATTTGGTGCTCTTAAAATATATATTTTTAAAACTATGGATGTATATAGTATTTTTATTTAAATAATTTAAAATATGTTTTTAGATATTTTTATTGCATAAAATCATAAAATCGGTATTTCAAATTCATATAAGTAAGAAATTCAACTATATTAACTTTTAATTGATGATATTTAATTAACCAAGCTTAGTGGTTAATTATGCACTCACAAAATCTAAGTCCAAGAGATTGGATAAATTTTATATTAATAATATAATCATTTATTCTTATAGTATTTTAAAAATAACTTTAAATTTTGAAAAAAACAATAGAAGTACTTATCTTCTATCTTATAATAAAAGTATAATCAATTTTTTAAAATAAAATAATTTATTGATTAAGTACAAAAATCCTTAGGTAGCTTGTAATTGATAAAATTATTTATTTCTAAAAACCACCTCAAAGATTAAATTAGAAATATTACAAATTGATGATAAAATATCTTTTTTAACAAAAAAAAGAAATTATAAAAATCATATAAATTAATGTTAGGAGTATATACTTTGTAATTAGGTGGTAAAAGAGAGCTTGTAGTACACAATCTAACAATATTTAACAACAATAAGAGTTTAGTTTAAAATTAAATTTTGTTGATTTTCAAGACATTGACAATACCAAAGAAACATAGAAGGTTAAGATTAGCTGTGGCTATCATTGGATAATTTTTACAAAAAGTTCAAACTTGACAAAGCTAAATCTTAGTGCATTTACAACAATGAGTAATTATGTAAACAAAATGGATACAATGAAGTGATAAGATCTTCAACAATCAGAAGTAATTTAAATGAAATAAAAACATTTAATAGTCAATATGTAGAATGCCAATAAAAATAATGAGAAAAACAATTTTTTTCATATGTTTATTTTTTCTGATTTAAAAGAATCCAATAAAGATTTCCAAAGTTTGAATACTTGGTTGATTTGATAAAATTTGATGGATTGGTGCTCGGTTTCTTCATTATTGATCATGTTGAAAAGTCGATCGTGGCAACAAATGCTCATCACAAAATATATATATATATACAAAGTTTTCTTTCTTTTTCATTGCATCACAAATCCCAAAAAAATCATCAAACCTTAAAATCAACACGATTCTCATGAACTTTCACACCAAGCTGCCATTTTTTTTATTTATTTTAGTTTATTTTTTTCCTTCTCTCCTGAGGTCAGCCCTCGTAAAGGCCTGACAGCAACCGAAATCTTCGAGAGGAGATTATGCAACGAGCTCGATTCGTCCTAGTGCCGAAGCACAGGAGCTCAAATCCCTCTCTTTTCGAAGCGGTTTCAGTAAAAATGGTGTGCAATCGTCATTGATCACGACAGAAAACGTACAAAGTTCTGATTTTGTCTGGCTTAATTTGTGTATGTCCTTTCGCAGTTAACGAGAGCGTGGACGCAGAACTTGGGAGTGAGCGATTTTCGTCGGCGATCGACAACAGCATGATCGAGTCAAACGCGAGCGAACGACTGGTCATGGATTGCTGTCCACCGTTTAAGGAAAGCTAAAAATTGGCTTATTATACAAAAAGCCTTTGTAAACATGTGAGTGCAAGAATAGGCAGATCTGTGCGGGGCACACAGTCTGTCGTGAACTATCTTCGTACAATCACAAGTGGTGGATTCGCGAACCGGGGGGTCAAGTTTAGCAAAAGCTGTGGGTCTCTCTCTTGTTAGGAAAGGAACAGTTTTTTCTTGCTTTTTCTATTCTTGCCGGAGTTGACAATTGTACAGTTGGTGCAGCGCCGCACAGTACAAATTCAAAGCTAAAATGGTAGCAGAAATTCACTCCTCAGTTGCTGAATTACTCACAAGAAAGCTCAAAGCACGTGGTAGTTGCTACATGTTCACCACTGAAATGTAACTCCCTCCCGGACTTGAAATATTTTTTATGTAATTGTCGAGGGTGAGAATCAACTGCCTGTTGTCACGCATTGCCTTCGTGCTTTGTAAAGAAATGGTTTCGGGGGTCTAAAAATATGAAGCGCTAGTTGTCGGGGAAAGGACGGCCGAAATGCGGTTGAATCTTCTCGCAGGAATCATACATTTGGGGATTCTACCTACTACCCGCTGTAGATGAAACTGCTTAGTTCAAGAGGCTTGGATCCTAGTTTACACTCACGTGATGAGATGAATAGTATGAGTTCCAAGGAAAGGGCGATAGTGCAGCGGGAAACTCTCAAAAAGCAACGGAGATGTGACATGTGATAATTGAAGGATTTGTGTCTTCGACGGAGAAGTTTCAACTCAACTTCAGTCGTGCCTGCAGCTTTCTTTGCAGTGGATGTTTACGCACAAAGAAAGGGATTTTTAAGCAATGAAAGTGTTAAGGAATACCCAGTGGAAGACCTGAAGTTGTATTGCAGCTAGCTGTTCCTGTTCCCACCATATTTGTACCAAGTTTGCTTGGATGAGGAGCTTCTCAGACTCAGTAGTTCTTTGGAGTGTTTTGTTAACTTGTCGCTCAAAGTTTTGGAGGGCGAGATGGGAATGAGGGTTGGTGCAGGTGATTTTGCACGTTTTGGTTACTGCAACGTCGACACAAAGTTGGTACAATCTGTAGATGGGCATTTTAAGATCTAGTCGCCGTTCCTACGAAGCGTTACTCCGGAGTTGTCTCCTGGAGCTTTCTTCGCGTAGTTGGTTCAGATTTCATCCTTAATCACCGACTAACTCTTTGAGTCCAACAACAGAGCCTTGAACTTGTAGTTTTCAGATACTTTCGAAGTAGTTCACTGAATCTTTTCTGAGGAGATCGTGACTGCGTGAGCGATACATGGGGAGGAGTTGTGTGGCAGTTTGAATTAAATCTTTCCCGACTCCACTTTCCAGTAGAATTCACTTGAGATTGCAACAAGATGTGCATGCAGATTTTGGAGCTAGAGTTGCACGTGTTGATTACTGCAAGGTGAACTATTCTCACAAAGAAAAAAACACAGTTGAGCAAACATTATCTCCTCCACGGATGGAGTTCTATTCACCAGTTCTTAGATTTTTTTACAACCCATTGGCTGATTCCCTTCTCTCTTCTAAGAAATGCACCATTGCGGGTCTACACTCATCGGTTATGGTCGCGAAGGTCGCCAAGAGATGGGTATTGTACTAAAGCATTTTCATGGAAAGAACAGGCTTGCTTACGCATTAACAGATTCTAACAAATATGGTGGGAACCAGTGCTGAAATGTTAAGGTATGTGCTGATTCGCTGAGTGGAGCGTGATCTGAAAAGACTGGGCTCACCAAATCATAAAAAAATGGACAAATTCACATGGCGTTTTTCGGATCGTCTTCCAGGCTCTATTCAGGCGACGCTTTTGTTCGTCAGTCTTATGCTAGTCCTCTCCGTTGTAAGCTTTGAAATGCTGTCCGAGAGTACCTGGGAAGGCAACTTCGGCACCTTGCTCATGGGAGTCTCCTCATTCGTCATAAACCTGGAAAACACCACCATCGTCGAACTTGCTCCGCCCCCATTTGCAGAGAATTATCCGATCTTTGCTGAACCGCATGCAGCACCACCTACTGCTCAGGACTTGGCCATCCCAGCGCCGGCCGTCGAGAGTGGCAATTACTCTGTGATCTCGTCAAGCGCAGAGGTTCCAACCGACTCAAATAGTTTCAGCACTGTGTCGATAGCACCACAACCATCAGTCTCTGTAAGGCTTACATGCACTTCGTTGTAAATCACTCGGAATAGCCAAGTAAATAGGGGGAAAATGACCGGATTCGTAGCCTCGAATGTTTGCTAAGCACATTTAACATATTTAGCAATTTGGTAGAGTTACTGATTAACTCGTGAATGATTGGCGATTGTAAGGTGGAAGCTAGCTCGGAGAAATTTATGATGCCAATTTTGAGTTTTCAAGTGGGAGCAGGGAACCAGTTCATGGAATACGTTTCGGCTGCTGTAATATCTCATTCACTCAACCGGACATTGTGTCTAAGCCCTTTCTTCCAGGGACCATCACGCCACACAGGTAATTAATAGAAAACGTAGGGATTTCATTTGCGTTTTGCAGCATATTTTCAATCATCTGAAGGAACGTTGAATGTGCTGTCGGTTCACCTCTCTAATGTTAGCTTTTTATCCTGTATGCTTCTGCTGGAAGAGCATTCGATCCTTTGATGAAACATTCGCTTTGCCCCACCGTGTGATTGCTATTTCCAGGGCGAGTAGTTAAGGGACTAGGTTGGGAGGACCGGTATGAAGTGTCATCGCTCACTAGATTCACACGAGTCGCAACAATGGACCGTTGCTTGAAAGAGTGCAATTACACTCTTGATGCGAAGTGGATGCTGAAAGCTTCTCGAGAACCGCAGATAGAGGGATGGAAGAAGTACCCAAGAAATAATGTGCGTCTCTTTGACATTACTCCACGCTCTCATCGGATATTTTCATGTGCGTGACATCGTCGTTGAAGTCTGTCATTGCCATCGTTCCACAAATCGAAGGCATTTGGGATATTAGCCTTCAGAGGATGAGCAGAAGGCCGATCTTTCGTGACATGACATAACCCACTATTTCATTGACGTAATGTAGGAGTCGTGGAACCTTGATTGGAACTACGTCAGATGGACAAGACCTGAAGACATTTTCGCTACCCTCGGCAACCGCAACGAGCGTTGTGTCGGAATGTTGGGCTTGTTTCCGGGTCTGAGATGGAGAGGCGCGTTTTTAGCTGTCTCTGCTTTTCTACGACCCGCTCCTCGCATCAACCAACTTGCTGATAAACTTCAGGAGTATGCTCTTGGAGAGCACACTCGGTATCTGGCAGGTATCAATCTCCACGCTTTCATCACAGACTTTTTAGAAACCAGGTGCATTTATGAAGTGGTAAGATACTGATTTCAAAGTAATCTCGGGCTTTTGGAGTTCGGAGCCTGACTTGAATGCCCTGCACCTTTGCAGTCCATTGGAGATTTGAAGAATCGGAGTGTGGGCCGCATAATATTGGACTTTGCTTCGTGCGCTGTCAAGACGGATCCGTAATCGACACAGGCCTCCGCTCCGAAGCCAATGAGTGGCATGAGGCATCACAAATTCAATGCAATAGGGATGGACATTTTCGAGGAGTTACCCTGGACAGAAATGACATATTAGATGCAATTCAAGACCGTGCTTTAAACCACAGCGTCAACACCATCTACTTTGCTACGGATGGCTGGATGCGTGGACCGCAAGGAGTTGCGCTTGTGAAGGAGATCGTTGAATCCTTGCGCAAGCGTGGGCTAGTGGTTGTCGGCCTCTGGAAGTTGCCTGGACTACCCAATTTTGCGGACGGCACATATTTCAAACCTGCAAAAGTCCTCGGGGGAGAAAACACGGTACGTGATCTCATCATCTTTGACCTCGAATATAAATTGAATCTCCGTGGTTTTGATGAACAGAATGTCGAAATGGGCATGGTTGGCTGCAGGACCTCAACGGTGCGCAGATTGCACTTGTGGAACAAGAGTTATGCGTGCGAGCAATCTCATTCATGGGCAGTGGACAATCAACGTGGAGCCTCTCAGTTTTCCGAGTGCGATTAGCACGCCGCCGAGTGCAGCAAATTGTAGAAGCTGCCAAGCTCATGCTCAGTGTAAATCTAACGGACCCCAAGGTTGTGGATAAACTCATCTATGAAACGCTGCTTAAAGATGAGCACGCAGCAGGGTTACATTGTCGGTACATGCGATTCATGAAGCGTGCTGAAGTGAACGAGACTACGGAAACATATGCTGACGAATACCCCGATGGCTGGCTGGATCTAGAGGCTTGCGAGGGGCGTATTGGCAAAGGGGGCCGTTGCGAAGTGGCTAAGTGCTTCTGAAGATGGTAAAATTTTCCCCACCACAGCACATACAAATCCTTATGCAATCTCCGACTGAAGATCGCCCCCACTTCGTCACATCATTCACTTGCATGAACATCCATCATCCTCGTCAGAGTAAGAAATGGTGTTCATAACTGCGAAAAGAAAAACTAGCGTCATTCTTCGTATCTATATACGTTAGTTTTTGGAGGTCTGCTCTTATCATGCAGGTAACTGTACCACTAACTCACATTAGGGAAATATTCCGCCGGTGTAATCAGTTCCCAGACTCTAAAAAATCTGTCACGAAGCAGTTCGTGAGTAAATAGTAGACGAAAAGACCTGTACAATTTATACATCTTCATCAATGCTACAAGTTCACTAATGGTTGTTGGGGATGATAATCTGCAGCACCTCCTATATTGGAAATCGATATTTAATGCAGTTCTGGCATGTGTATTGTCCGTTTAAGCAAATTTTTCCGTGTAAGTGTAAAACTCATGTACACTACTACTCATTCTTAACAATGAGTATTGATGAATAAGCGCCAAAACCTTAAGGAATATGGGGGTTTATATACATCACCTGTATGCCGAAAAGGAAATGAATATTTACATCTATTTTCTAGACCTAACAACTCGACATGAGTAAATTTGTTCACGACCCAGATCTCTGAGCATAGATTTGCTACTGCAATTGCACGTTGTAATTGTGTTGGAAAGAGCCAATTAAATGCTGTATATTACCTCAATTGGTGATGTTTTGCGTCTTCTAAAGACCCTCGGTAAATTTGTGAGCTACCATGGCTTCAACCTATACAAGAGAACATGGACGAGTTCAGAAGAACAGTGTTATTTACGGCATGCAGGCTACTATTTGCCAGACCTGAGCCCTGAGAAAACAGACGTCAATCACATGGTAACTTTGCCCACATCAACATCGTGTCCACAAGGTGTCGATAACAAATATTAGGTTAGAAGTCGGGTCAGTCAAAAAGAAAACTGTCAAAAAGGACCGACAATACGACCGAGGTAAAATGTTACTTCTAACAAAAGAGAGAGCGTAGAGGACCATGCGTTTTATACTTTAGTGGGTCCAACGATAAGCAAAGCAAAAAAAAAAAAAAAAAAAAAGCGATAATAAGTATTACCGCTTTTTTGCTTTGGTTTGCCACTTTCTTATATATCCTTTAACTGTGTTGTTCATTTTCGAAAATAATAAGCTCTCATTCGCCGTGCGAAGCATTGAGTGCCATTGTATCAACTGATCTCAATCCCACGATCCACGTATGGATCTAGATTTTGAGCTCCCGTGTCCCTGGAGCAACCAAGATAGTATTTCGAAACAAGAAGGGATTCAGAACGCATAAATTACAGCAAGAATGTTCAAATTGCTTCAATGCTATCCGAAACAGCGATACGATGGCGTAGCAGAATAAGACAGCAATTTCTGATTAATAAGCCGAACGTACTTTATCCTCAGGCTTCACCAAAGGTCCTGTCGAAGCAGCATCGTTCCTCTCTACACTGCAAGGCACTAGGAGGAGTAAATGCTAGGCAGTAAAATCACAATTTCAGCATTCGCTGACCACGTGATGAGATATTCTGATGGACCCAGTTTCATCGACTCTTCGATTCTAGACAAATAAGCAATATTCGCACAGACTAACGCACTGACACGGAGCTGGGAATAACCAGAAACTTGGATTAACACTCAAATTCATGATTCACTAATTGAGGACCCCCATACTTCAGATATTTTTATCGAAAGAAAATCACGCCACAAAAACTAGGATTGTTCCTTATAAGACAGCTTGAAGCGAAAATAAGAGAAATACTAGTCACCTTCCACTGCCAACGTGCTGAAACGCACACAACTTGCAAGGATTCTCCACGACATATCCACCCATTACGGTCACCACATTGGAAGCAAAGCGCATCAGCCGGGCGCCACCTTTCAATTGAAAAGTGCCGGAAGAAGAGCTGATTGGAAAGCATTGTGGAAAACAACTTGAGGGAGACAAAGAGAAGGGAGAATGGGAGGAGGAAGTGAGACGTGGATTAAGAAGCTTTCCCATGGCCATGGCAGGTATGGCGCCCATATCTAAGCTGTGTGTTGCGACAACCGCTCAGTCGCGGCAGTCTCCCAATTCACAAATTCCGACTAAATTTCGATTGTATTTCCTGGATACATGAAGGTCAAGGGGAATGAAGAGGCCTTGGAGTGTTACACATGGTCTAATGTAAAGCTAAGAGATGTCGTTAGCACTCCGTCCTGGATTCATCTTCCTCCGTTCTTTGTAGATGAGGAGGGGAGGTTCAAGACTTTTTGGAGCATGAAGGAACATATGCTCTTTTTGAACCCACATTACATTCAACTAAACTTGTCGGATCGGATTAGTGCTTGTTCGGAGTTTAGAGTGTTTCCAACAACTTGTACAAGCATAAATCCGATCCGACAAGTTTAGTTGAATATGTACAAGCATATATCCGATCCGCAGCACATATTTGACGCTTATACTATCACCCAAACTTCATTGGAAATATAAATATAATAGATTGAAAGTTGATGGATGGATGATGATTCTCCTTCTGCCTTGCTTCCCAAGTCCTAGGGTTCACAAGATCACCTGGCTACATGTGAAGCTCCAGAACTTTTTGAAGGCGTGTGAGTGCAGCGAGACATAGGAGCGATGGCTGAGGTGAAGCAGTTGCTGAGCTTGATCATCGATACTTTCAAGAGTAGCGAAAGCCAGGCGCTTGTTGGCAACCCCTCTGAGGTAAGTTAGCAAGGTTGTTGATTCAGGTGGTGTATTGTACCGTAGTTGAGTTAGGTTTCTGGCTACAGTTCAAATGTAAGGCCCACCGAGTTCGGTTTAGAGAGCGGCGAAGGGTCTTCATGGATACGATGGTATACTGCACATCGCCGACGCAGTTCTCAGTCCCACTCAAGCTCGGTATGACAGATCCTGCAGTGCCTTGCTTGGAGCACCGTATTGTCGGTCTTGGAAATCTGAAGGGCTGGAGGTCGCCTGTTGATGTATTTTTTGTTGGATTCTTGAAAGTTTATGTTTATAGCTTCACTGAAGTTTGTCAAGCACCAAACTCTAAACCCTTACCCTCGTTGTTTTGCAGGTAGATGAGTGGCTTAGCTATGCATCCAGCTTTGGTGTGGGGTCTGAGTTCGAGGGAGCTTGTGCGTATGCGAACAGCTACCTCGCCTTCCGCACCTACTTCGTTGGCAATGATCTCACTGTAGCAGATATTACCATTGTTGCTTACCTAGCGAAGGCAGGGCCGAGATGGGAAAGTTTCAGAAAGACTGCCAAATTCCCGAATCTTGTACGATGGTACAATTGCATTCTTGTGCAGTATCCTGCGATTGCGAATGTCCTGCCTTCGCGTGGCGCTGGAAAGCCCGCTCCAGAGGTTTCAAAGTCCAGTTCTGCTGCAGCGGTTTCTGCTGAGGCAAAGGAGAAGGTGGATGGCTCATTCGAAGTGGATTTGCCTGGTGCAGAGATGGGCAAAGTATGCACGCGGTTTCCGCCCGAGCCAAGTGGTTACCTTCACATCGGGCACGCTAAGGCAGCTCTTTTGAACCAATTTTTCGCTCAAAAGTACAAAGGACGGCTTATTATTCGGTTTGATGACACAAATCCGGCGAAAGAGAAGGATGAGTTTGTAGAGAGTATCTTGCAAGATCTGGACACGTTAGGCGTGAAGGGCGATGTGATAACGTACACCTCTGATTACTTTCCACAGCTTATGGAGATGTGTGAAAAGTTGATCAAAGAGGGGAAAGCATATGTGGATGACACAGAGCGGGAGCAAATGCAGCTAGAGAGGAAAGCTATGATTGAGTCGAAGTGTCGAAACCAAACTGTTGAGGAGAACCTGAAGCTTTGGAAGGAAATGATTGCTGGCTCAACAAGAGGTGTTCAGTGTTGTGTTCGTGCTAAGATGGACATGAGTAACCCTAATGCATCTCTGCGAGACCCTGTTTACTACCGCTGTAATCCGACTCCTCATCACCGTGTGGGTTCTAAGTACAAGGTCTACCCCACATATGACTTCGCATGTCCTTTCGTGGACAGCATTGAAGGTGTTACTCATGCCCTTCGGTCAAGTGAGTACCATGATCGGAATGACCAGTATTACAGAGTCCTGGAAGACATGCAACTAAGGAAGGTTCATGTATGGGATTTCAGCCGTCTTAATTTCGTATATACTCTTCTTAGCAAGCGCAAGTTACAGTGGTTCGTGGACAATGGACGGGTGGAAGGTTGGTACGATCCTCGTTTTCCGACAGTTCAAGGCATTATCCGTAGGGGTCTCACAATCGAGGCTCTTAAGCAATTTATCTTATCTCAGGTGCTGATTTTGCGAAAACTTATTACATCTCGTGTCATTAACACTCCTTCGTTGGTACTCGAATTTGATTCTAACAGTAGTGGTTCTCAAGCAAGTGTGTTCACTTTGTGCATTATAGGGTGCATCAAAGAATCTGAACCTAATGGAGTGGGACAAGCTGTGGACTATCAACAAGAAGATTATCGACCCTGTTTGTCCTAGGCACACAGCTGTTCTTTCCGAGGGTAAAGTTCTGCTTGATCTAAGCAATGGTCCGGAGACTCCTTTCACTCGGGTAATCCTGCGTCACAAGAAGTATGAGCCTGCCGGGAAGAAGGCCACCGTTTTCACAAAGAAAATATGGCTTGATCATGCAGATGCCAATGCTGTGTCTAAGGGAGAGGAAGTTACTCTTATGGACTGGGGTAATTGTTTCATCAGGATAGTTGAACGCGACCAATATGGTCTTGTTACTCGTCTTCAGGGAGAATTGCATGTTGAGGGATCAGTGAAGACCACGAAACTAAAATTGACGTGGCTTCCTGAGACTTCAGAGCTGGTTCCCCTGACTCTCGTTGACTTAGACCACCTCATCGTCAAGAAAAAGCTCGAGGAGAATGACGACTTCGTGTCTGTTCTCAATCCTGTAACCCGCATTGAATCTGCTGCAGTTGGAGACTCTAACATGCGGAACTTACAGCGTGGAGAAATCATTCAGCTGGAGAGGAAGGGATACTTTATCTGTGACGTGCCGTTTGTGCGGTCATCTAAACCAATTGTGCTTATTTCTATTCCTGATGGCAGACAACAGAAACCACCAGGCCAGCAGTGATGACGTGAAAAGATTGGAGTGCGATGACATCTAGGCTCATCTGTATTAGAGGTGCATAGACCCCACCAATAATCCTTGAAGCTGATCAAATAAATGCCTTCATTGCAACTCCAACTGTTTAATCAATCGTACACTTGTCTGTTTGTTCACTTTCTTAATTTCCTAGACTTTGTTGGAACTGGGGAGTGATCAACAACACACTTTCTCAATCACTCCCCGGTTCCAACAAGCTCCAGCAAATCGGAAACCCCTAAACCTTCCCAAAATCCACCGGAAGACAGAAGCTTACAATCGCGATTCGACAATGTTGAGGTCTGGAAAATGGGAATCGTTACAAAATAGTAAGACCCATGCGCAATTCCCAAGGCGATGCTGAATGAGTTGGACAAATCACCGCCGCAAATTGAAGATTTAGTGCAAGTAATTGAAAGTAGCTTTCAAGAGGACGACGAAGGAGCTCAAGCAGAGCTGAAAGCACATCGCCGTTGCGCTCAAGAGAGCCATCTTCGCTCGGATTGATAGCTCGGATCATATCCCCGACGAGGTCGCTAATACCACCTTTCGCGGTTATTGTCTGTTTACCCGCTTAGCAATCACTTAATACGGGGTTTACTGCGGTGCGTTGAACGCAAGGGCTGAACAGGTTACCGCGTTGTATCATGAAATGCCTTGTAAACTAATTCAGATAACAAGATGTCAAAGTTTGTAATCAATGCAACACCCGGGAGCTGCATAAAAGTCTCTTCGTAGTCTCTTCGCATGCGCATCTCACCCAGTGTTTCGCATGCCCAATGCACCAGATCACTGATTTCTGCTCGGCACTGAAATAATCATGGGCGAGGATTCGGTTGGCGGACCGTCAACTCGTTTCACATGACCATTGAGTTGTGATGCAGCATCAGTTGTGATCCATAAGATTGAGTACAACCCTTCTCGCGGTATAATCATTTTGACACAGCATGGCTCAACCGGTGCGCGGTGGGGTTGGACACGGCCATGCCTGCGATGCTTTTCTTGAATTCAAATATTGTGCAGCTCATTTTTTTTTTATTTTTTATTTCTGTTCGTAACTAGTGCATCGGAGTATTTGCGCAGTCGCTCTTGCAATCCATGTAGATGGCGTACATGTAAGAATCGTCTTTGTTTCCGTCGAGCTTTCAATTTTCTTTTCTTGAGAGTTACGGTAGATGTTTGATTTGATGTGGACGTCAGTTTTGGTGTCATGAACTTGTGTTGATGGTACAGTCATACAGTGGAGGAATGTTAACAGGCTGAAGTTCATTGCATATAAAGGAATTCGAGGAACATGATTGACGTGCTCATTTGAATTGGCAGGTGAATGACAATCTAACAGTGAGTTGATGCGATGGAGTGTCTGAAATTTGGAGCTATCCGTGATTTGGATCAGTGTACTCTTATTGCTGGTCAGGGATAGTTGTTTACTTTCTCGGGTTGTGGTACATTGTGTGCTTATCGCTGCAACCTACTCCACCTCCTCGAGTCGTTCTAGTCTCCATCGTCTTTGCACTGTGAGCTCCGACTCCTCTTCTCTATACTGTGTTCTCTTCGGAGCCATGCTTGCTGAGGGCTCTCGAGCATTTGTGGAGCGTGTCTCAGATTGGGTAGTGGGTCCTGCGGTTGATGAAGTGTGGACTGTTCGGATACTTGTACTTCGTGTGTTCAACAGTTCACTTCATAGCATACATGACCCTTAATGCGCGTTTTTGTGGTCATAGCCCCGACTGATCGATTTCTACTTCGTTCTTCTTTACTGAACTTCTGCACATTTTTGATACAGATTGTTCAAGCATCATCAGATGACTATTGGGGCGGAGCCCTCAGTGGAAATGGCTTCCCAGCCACACGTGGTGGTTATGCCATTCCCATCGAAAGGGCACAGCACACCGTTTCTCCATTTTGCAGCTAAACTGACTGCCCTTGGAGTCACCATCACGTTTGTCAATTCCTACGAACACGTTCAGCCACAGGATTTCCAAAGCATTGGGGGTCTTGAACAAATGAAGGTAGTGAAAATCGGCGGTCCTGTTCTACCGGGAGACGATATTGCAAAACCGCTACCCATGATGGCTGCCTCGGAGCGGATCACCCAAGATCTCGAGGATCTTTTAGAGAAACTTGTCTATACTCCCGGCCTTCCGAGACCTGCCGCTCTTATATGTGATGTGTTTTTCGGTTGGACGCAGGTGAGCATTAGGATTGTAACGTCGGATCTGTGCAGTTGAATTTGCAGACATAGTAACAGACCTCGTGTCACAATTGTCTGTCACAGATCCGTGAACATGTGAACTTATGCTTGCTTTCCACTCGTCTTCTGATACCTGCCACCGTTCTTGCACCGTGCAGGATGTTGCTGATAAATTCAAAATCCCTAAGTACTTGCTCTTCACATCTCCCTCCTCCTTGTTGGCGCTAATGTCCTATGTGCCCACATTACTAAAGCTGGGGCGTTTGCCAGTTGGGTTCGAACCTTTTTCTGACATCCCTGGAGTAGCGTCACTGAAGGCAGCAGAGATGCCTTCCATGATGCTGGATCACAAGTCCATTCCTGAGGCATACGCTTTCTTCCTTCGACATTGCGATCGTCTACCCGACGCCCGTGGTGTCCTCGTCAATACTTTCGAGGATCTGGAACACAGAACGCTCGAATGCATCCGTGAGCGAATATATGGTGAAACTTCACGTTTGGTAATCCAGTCGATCTCAGAGATAATCTGATCAGATTGTTCATTGATTGAAGTGAAAACCCTCTCTGATACACATGCTGATTGATGCTGTGCAGGGAAAGCGCAGTGTTTTGACGATTGGTCCTCTCCTTCCAGCAGTGTACTTCGAAGACAATTCGAAGGTCTCAGAATCCAACCAGGAAGATACAGCCGAGTATCTAAAGTGGCTTGACTTACAACCTGAGCATTCTGTACTCGTGATATCATTCGGTAGTTTTTCAAGTTTGCGCGCTAACCAGGTCACAGCCTTGGCGAATGGGCTTCTCGAAAGTGGGCAGACGTTTTTGTATGTATGCAGGCCTCCGGCGGCAGTCGATGGTTCTAAACCGATTGATTCCACGCTGAAGCCATTACAGTACCTACCTGAAGACTACGAGGAGAGAATCAAGGGTCAAGGAGTTATTGTGCCTGGCTGGATACATCAGCTTGGTGTACTGTCACATCCAGCAGTGGGAGGATTCCTTACTCATTGTGGGTGGAATTCTATTCTGGAAAGTTTGTGCAGGGGTGTGCCTTTACTGGCATGGCCTCTTCATGGAGAACAGCGAATGAATAAAAGGTAAAACATTGCCCATTGTGAACAGATGTAGTTATCCTACGTGTTTTATCAATTCAGTTCCCCGAATCTTACTTATGTGCAGGACTTAATTAGCTTTGTAACTTCATATTGTTGGTGTTTGTTTTGCTTCAGCAGATTTGTTGTGGATGAGGCAAAGGTTGCACTTGAGTTTACGATGGGCCCGAATGGTATTGTGGAAGCAGAGGAGATTGCTAAAGTAGTGAAGGAGCTTTTTGTGAGCGAGAAGGGCAACATGGTGCGAGTTCAAGCTCACCAGTGGAAAACTCTATCTGCGAAGGCTGTAGCACCTGGTGGTTCGTCCGCATCAAACTTACAACGATTTGTTGATGAAATCTTTGCTCCGCTAAATTCAACGCATTAGATGCATCATTTACATCGTCTAGCCTTCCTTTGAGTCAATTCAATTACGGCTTGAAATGCATTATCTGTGTACTGGTGGAATCAATTTAGACTTGAGGTCTAGTCTGTATGCAGGTTCAGCTGTAATTAATGAAGCAAATTTTTAGTAATCTTCACAAAATTGATGACATGATATTCAGCACAGGAAGTATTTCAGAAGCAGTTCATGACTTATATCCAACACGGTCATGGCAGTAAGTGGTCTAGGGTGGGGTTTAAAAAATAAATAAATATACGTATACTTTTTATAAAAAAAAGGTCACTTTGCTTTTCGCTCAAAATTTAGCATTCTTACTCATACTCAAAATTTATGGTAATATGAAAAGGGTGTTAGAAAACATTATTGAATATTTGTTGAAGAGCAACATTGTGTGGTCACCACCCACTTTTCTTTTCTTTTTTTCCTTTTTCTTCACTGGTTGTTCAAAACCGGAAGAGTTGAACAAGAGCTTTCGTTTGCAAGTTCATTGAATTGTTTTTGTCCACTTGCACAAGGCCACTCAACTGTGGGAGTTCATTTTATTCATCTGATGACGAAAGAAGTGAAGTATGTTTGGGTATTAAGAAATGATGATGGTATTAGAAGAACTAGGCACATTATGGCTCATGCATTCTATTATGCTTAACTGGATTTTCATGAAAAACTTGGGATTATATGTGATGATTCACAAGAAGGTTGATATTTTCACAATTTTTTTAAATATATATATATATATATATATATTTCTTATATTTATATATTAATAATATATATATATTAATATTTTTTTTCTTATTTTACTTGCAAAGATGAAGTCCTAATTCTATTTTAAATTTATAAGTTAATCCTTTTTGAAACATATTATATATTACTTACTAAATATTTACAAAAATGTGGATACTATGCCACATTAGCATTGTTATTTGAAAATTTCTAAATTTTATCTTTGATAAATAATTATATTTTATATAATTTTACATATAATAAAGTCTAAGGTATTTAAGAAATCCTCACAATAAAGGAATTCATCCAAAACATATATGCAATAACTATTTGGTTTAGAATGGTACTTTTAATGTGGCTTGAAGATCACTTTTACACACAAACTTTGTAGCTAAAAATCGATTATTTTTTCATTTTATTACAAAAAAAAGCCTCCATGTTTTCTAAAAATAATGCAACAGTAATAAATAAATAAATAAATAAATAAACTGTTACATCAAGCCAACTCTATATTGCTATTAGCGTAGTATACTATGCTACACGAATTAAAATTACCCAGATATAGAAAGTTTTTATTGAAATGTATTCTGTGCCACCATCAAAACATTTGCTGAAAAAATCACAACTAAAAAGGTAAGAAAAAGGTTCAAATGTTATATCACTTGACATAGTTATTGTGATGTAATTTTATTTTATTTTATTTTATTTTTATCTAACACAACTCTGAGTTCATTCCCTTCATATTTGTGGTTTCAAACAACAATACAATTGCTAAGTAGCACACTGTGCACAAGTGAATTTGTCAACAAAACTACCATGTACAATTTTGAGACATTCATGTATGTAATAATAATGAAATATTTCCAAAAAAGTGAGATCAAACTACTTTAAAACAATTTTTAAGCAAACTTTATTCAAAACTTATGAATGCAAAACTCTTCAATTGTTTTTAATAAAAGCTATTATAAAGAGCATTATCATGAAGAAAGTTTCAATTTATAATTTTTAAATAATCAAAAATAACTGGATCATACATCTATATTTGCATAGTCTTCAAGTTAATTTTGTGACAACAGCACGGGTTCTATTATTATTATTATTATTATATATACATATATGTATATTCAATTGATGTATTTGAATAAAATAATGATACAATAACCATAAGAAAAACATCTGTAGAAAGAAACAATATATATATATATATATATATATATATTACTTGTCACCATCCACATCATCCACATCAATATTTGAAAAATGAAAAAGAAAAAGAAAAAAACTCCAAATCAGCACACAAATACAATAAATAAATAAATAAAAACGCTTTACATAGAAAGCTATAACGATTCAGAAAAACTCAGTGAAAGGAAGTTCAAATTCCACACAAGAATTGTCTGCAATGAGAAGCAGGCAAGCAAGCTAAGCACCCGAGGCATGGGAATTCGGAACCCAAGTCAGTGTAAACAGGGTTGGTTCCACGTGAATTAGAAGACAGTCCAGCAGGGCGTTTCCACGTGGACTCATTCTGCTGAGTTGTCATCCGACGTGGCGGGTATTTCTCTCGCCTTCTTCGCAGGACTGTGGCCAGTTGAGTTTGGCGGTGAGATTCATCGTTGCTTGCTTGCTTGTTTGCAGGAGAGCAGGAGATCCCTTGTTGTTGTTGTTGTTGTTGCGCTCATTCTCTTTGCCTTGTCAACCGTTTTTTTGGGTCATAGTAGATGCGACTAGTGAGTGCATCAGCTTTAGCTCCGCAGATTTTTGCTCTTGGGTGTTGATTGTTGTCCTGGAGTTTAATTTTTCGTGCATTCTGAGCTATATGTGTGACCCTTTTCCATCCTGAAGGGTTAGGTTGAGATTTGCGTAGTTTCCGCGTTGAACGGTGCAAGGATCTCTTGCTGCTTGTTGATTCTCTTTTAATTTGAGTTTGTTTTATTTTTCAGGAACATATGCATGAATGTGTGTGTGTGTGTGTATATGTTTTTATTGATTCTAGTTATAAATTTTAATTGGATTATAAAGCAGGAGTTCGTTATTTGATGGTCTTCTGAGGAGACGTATGGCGTCTTGACATGAGCTTCCTCTGTTTGATCGTTGATGTGAGTGAAAGCTATGGCATTCATGGATTCGGGCAGGCGATCCGGGTGGGAGAAGCTGTTAGGTCCCAGCTTCAAAGACAGGGCTCTTACTGGTGTCATCAAGGTGGACAATGTTGCAGGGAAATCCGCGGTAACACGGACATTTGCAAAGTATCCCCTCAAATTTCTGTTACCGAATAAGATTGTCCCGAGTGGTATTGATGCAGTGTGGATTTATGCCATCTCTTATGGCGGGGGCATTGTGTCGAACGATTCGATCTCTCAGAGGGTGGAGGTTGGACCTTCTTGCACTGCCGTCATTACCACGCAATCGTCGACAAAAATTTACAAGTCTGTCGAGGGAAAATTCTGTGAGCAGATCCTTCAAGCTTACGTTGGCCGAGAGGGATTTTTTGCTGTATTGCCAGATCCGATCACATGTTTCAAGAACTCCAAGTATACGCAGGTAAAACGTCACCACAGCTGTTCTGGTATAATCTTGAGCTTAACCACCCCCTTACTTGCAGTATGAAGCGATTATAATATTGTCCGATGTTGCATTGACACAGAAGTCGAGATGATGGATTCGTCTCCCATTGATAACCTTCGAAGTAGATGGGTAGAACTTAAAATTTTATGTCAGCTATTTGGCATTTCAGTTCACTCATATTCTGCATCGCTACTATGAAACCTATTATTCCATTTCGTTCCGTGTTTTCGTTGCGCTATTTTACTGTGCCTTGTAATCTAGTCAATCAGCAGGTTTATTACATAGTAACGAGGAAAAACTTAACCCACATACACGGATGTTTCATAGGTACAGGAGTTCTATCTTGCAGCAGATGCTAATTTAGTCCTCATAGATTGGATGACAAGTGGCCGAGTTGACAATGGCGAAAGCTGGGAATTCGAATTGTACAAAAGCATTAATCACATCTATTTAGAGGATGTGAAGGCTGATTGTAGCAAATCCACACCTCTTTTTCTCGATTGCCTGTGTCTGGAGCAAGGTGTAGGGACCTCCGTTGCAGAGCGCATGCGAGGGTTTCATGTAGTAGCCAACATGGTGATTTATGGACCAAAACTGGCGGCATTCCGTGTCAAAGTTCAAAAGAAGGTGCAAGAACTCACACAAAAGGCATTCACAAGAAGAAAATCCTGTGATCTAACGGCCCGTTTACGAGATTCCAGTCTCTCCGCGGAGTCCCCAAGCACCTCAGATCCTTTATTATTCGTTTCATGTAGTAGCATTGGGCCTGCAAATGAAGGTTTAGTGGTTCGGGCAGTTGCCAGCACCACAGCACTCATGTATGACTTTTTCAAAGAGCAGTTGGCTCATATTGACTCTCTAATTGGAGCATGTCCATATGCTGGCAGATGACTGAATTTCGGTATCTCGGCTTCGTCATCTGGAAAATGGTCTGTTTCAAGTCACGATGTAAGTTCCTCCGTGATACTTATCTCGAACATATCAGTATTAGTTGAGATGTATGACAATCTTGGTTGTGAGAGTTTCATTCCTTAATGGCACCCTCAATGACTTCTGAAATTCTCACGGAGAATAATGGCGTTAGTATTAATTATGAAGCCCATTTCCCACAGTTTTGGTTAGCATGGTAGCATAAGTTGTATGTTTCACACCCTATTGTAAATAGTGTTGCTGCAGATTTTGTCATTGCAATACTCTCAGCGACATCGCCTCACTAAAAACGTTAAAATAGAATCCACCTTCAATTTATGAGCTCCACTCCACTGTAGATATCTATTATATGAAAACAGATTAGGTTTAAGACAAAGAGACAAAGAAGTCTTCATTGGTAATGAAGAGGGGAAAGTGCTTTTCAAGGTTTTTGGAAGAGACAGCTCCCAAAGAAATTTACAACTTTTTTGTGCCCAAGGACATGGGTTTCTGCTAGTCTTTAATATAGTAGCAATGTACAAATTGAAGATTAAAATTTTCGTCATATTAAGTAAGAGCAAATTAATAGTTTAATAATTAAAATGGTTATTTTTAGAAATAGTGCGTTAAAAAGCACACTTTTTGTGAAGTTAATGTCAAAACGTGGGTTTTTAATAGATGATTCAAAGGAACAATTACTTGATTGTTAATATTTTAGGTTGATATCTAGTTGGATATTTATTGAATGTAATTATATTTGGTATAATAGTTAATTTGTGAATAAAGATTAATCAAAAAGTTTATATAAATAATTTAAAATAATATAAAAAAACTTAGAGAAAGTTAATTGATAATATTTTATGTATGAAAAGGATAACTAGCAAACTTGAACAAGACTATTTTGACAAGCAAATAAAAAAAAATTAAAATTAAAATTAAAAATCTTTGTTTAATAGGTTAAAATCAAATTTGAACAATATGTAATATAGAATAAAATAATTTTTTGAAAAACGTTTGACATAAAATATATATTTGATATAATTATAAGTAAATAAGAGATATTATTATTGTAAAAAAAAAGCTTTACAATCTTCTGCAATTAAATATTCATCTTTAAGTAAGAAGAAATTAAACATCTTAATATAAAGTATAGAAATTAAAAACATTTAGTTTAAATTTTATTTTTTAATTTATGTGGAATTATATTAATACATAAAGAATAAAAATAATTAAATAAAACAATAACATTGATTTAAAACAATAAGAATAATAAAAATCAAAAAAACAAAAACAAACAAACAAAATACATGAATTATTATTATAAAAATAAAACATGAGAATTGAAGCATTCTTTACACGTTTATATTAGTATAGGTTGTAAATACATGATTTACATCAAAAAAAGATAGAAAGGAAGAAATTAAAAAATAAATGAAAAGAATAAAATATTACGTATTAAAAAATGTATTAAAAAAAAAATCAAAAATCAAAAACATCTAGTTTTTAAAATGTATTCAAGGTAATAAACATATCTTTTGAATTCCTATAGGCTTCTTACAAACCTTGCTTATTCTCCCATTTCATAAATATCTCTAATGAACTTCAATTAATATTCTTGGAAATATTCTACTTATTACAATTAAATTTAAACTATGACTAACGTAAGGATATTTTTAACGTCTTTGCCATTTTATTGAAGGTTTTTCATTGTGATGCTGTTACTGAAGTGAAATCCTTCCTTCTTGATTTATTAAATGAATGGTTCTGACATCACAGCATACAATTCCACAAGCATAGCCCTAAATCTACAAAGTTTTATACACGATTCATTTTCTGCTTTCTGTACGGTAAGGAAGTATTGTTATTTAGATATTAGGCCACATTATAGTCCAAAGGTTCAGTCGTTGGAGAATTTCAGGAGTCAATATTAATATTTATTTCCCTTGTAATAGAAGGTGCCTCTTTTTCTTTCTTTTCAGAGTTATCATATTAACATGATCAAAGCATGAGTGCCAGTTCATCGCTCACACACCCAATTAAAGCTGTCGAATGTATTCGGCTCCATGCGTGTGCACATGAATGGTTGCTAACTGAGATAATCCATCTTTGACGGTGTCAATATCCTCTTAAAACTAGCAAAATTGCACCAACCTAGTGGTGGATACTGTGATGTAATGTACACCTCTCAGTCTAGTCTACAGTCTCTGCACTACGTTGGAATTTTAAAAATTGGGTATTCCATAACCAGGATTCGTGGCTATTCCTACCACCTACAAGATGATGCATCCGCATATCCAGCTCTGAAGCTAGATGTGTATCTAGATGAAAACATGTCGACATTTCCAGGTGTCTTCTGTTATCATGCCACTGCATCAAAATTCAAGACGTCTTCTCTTCTGGTGCTTGAGGCCATATCAACCCTTCCTACACCTCAGCAGCAGCCATAAAAACACATCCAGTGCCCAATTGCCAACAGTAAGTCTGTCAATGAAGCGCATCGCATGGAAATGCGTTCCGTAGATGCCGCGGCTAACTTTGTGTTAACATATGAAAGATGTTCTAGTTATTTGACCTAATTCTACATAGCTGTTAGAGGGTGTAAGGAGCTATGAACTGATTCGTCCAAAGTTATTCGGGTTGGTGATCGTCAGCTGGTGTAGCAGGGGGCAAGGGCTTCCAGTTAGGTTTCTCATCCCAGTAAATGTCATACCAGATGTGCCCAGGCGTTTTGTCCATCACACAACACCATATCCCTGTGTAGCTCTTGATCCTACGAGTAAATTTCATGCCTCGATCCTGTATATACAGATACCTATGTGTTAAGCAATTCTAGGAAACGAAGCTGTACTGTCTCTCCAAATTCCGAATTCACTGATAACTCAATCGACGAATAGACACGAGACCTAGATATGTTTCCCAGAAAATCACTAACGTACAAAATTGCAACTTCATACAGTGAAATTTATGGATAGATGTCAATAAGTTTACTTACAATGTTTCTAAATCCTCCGAAGACGTCAATAGCAGATGTAAACTCTAGTATTTTAAACTTGTTGAAAATGTCCAACTTGGCAGACAGCTGCATTCACTCATAAGTTTCAGCCAGTGGTTCAAGAAATTAACAAGCAGCATCAGAAGTGAATTGGACTTCCGATTGGAATTATTTAAATTCAAGAGAAACACCAGACTGAGATCTACTTCAAGTCAAACAAGAATGATCACATTCGAAATGTCACAATAACAAGGTTTAAAGCTGACCTCCTCGTCAGTGCTATTTTTAGGGAGCTTCAAAACTCCAGAGGACACCTTATTTTTGTGGGAGCAGCCGGCTAACTTTCGGTCGCATAGCTTGACCTTCAATACTGACTTTTTCACCTGCAACCAGTGACGAGTTAGATCCACTTGAGGAAAGGTTTTGAAATATAAGTGCAATACTTCACATACGTACTACATGCCAAATGATCATTTGGCAAAACTGTAGAATGGTGAGTTTCGTGTCAACTTTGCATTCAAATTTTAAAATACTCGCTTATCATTACGTTCAGTAGCTCAATCAATAAAATTTACAAAGAATGGAGTTCCACTGGAACGAACATAGTATCGGCTTCCTCGTGACCGGAACTTGAAGTTCCTACACTGATAACACTTATAGAACACTATGCATACCTTATTTTCCAATAGAGGATTCTCTAAAAACGAGTATTCCCTGATGCCAATTTGAGGTCCAAATTCAATCTCACTGAGGTCAGCCACCATACGATTAACCTGAAAAAATAACATCAATAGCGAACCCCACTAAAATGATATGTTGGTGCGTCATTGGTGTAAAATCCCTTTCTCAGAATTCAGCATTCATGTAGAAAAGGAGAAAATTTCGAGACAAACAAGTCAACTAATTAAGTAGTAGACAACAAAAATTTAAACAATAAGCTCTGAACTACCTCCTAAAATCAGTAAACTGAGGTCGTCAGTCTCTGTCACAATATGTAGTGCCTTAACTTCCAACTCATAGCTTCTTGAAAGTTGCAGAATTGAAAACATCTGACCTCAAATACATGGTCGAGAGGGACTTTGAGCGGTTGGCTAGTTTTTGTTCCTGTAAGAATACCAGGATGTCCATACCAGATTCGATCAAATCGGGCCCATATAGGGGGCATAATCTGCATGTCGTTCGGAATACTACTCGCATCAGAGTGTCAGAAGATTGCAACTATTTCACTGAACTAAAGCAGAATGCTGAAAAATTCAGAGCACCTCAACACGAGTGAATTGAAGTACCATCTCGAGCAATTCAACTGAATGAGAACTAAAAGGAATTCAACTCACAAGTGTGCGATTTAAGACTGATGCAACTGCCAATGCCGTCCGAATTTGGATTAACTGCAACATACAGACGATATCAATGCCGTGCGTTTTGATAGCTAAATCGCATCAAACCAGATTCTATGAAAGCGTCGCCAATACCTTATATAGTCCTGTGCGAAAAAAAAAAATGGAAGCTCTGTACGATACCTGATGATTTACTAAAGCAAAGTGGCTCTCAACAGTATGCAAGCCACCGGATAGAAGAGACTGTGGTATGGAGATTTTAAACCAAATGTAACCACCTGAACAGAGTGAAGTCATTATGATTAATCACCCATGTCTACTAGTAACATGTGTACCTAAACTATCAAGTCCCAAGTAATATCACGTGAAGTACTAGAAGCATAAGCTTCAAACAGTCACCTTGACTAACACCTGTTTGTGATAAGCTGCACTTTGAAGCTCCATATTTTGGTAGAGGTGCATCCTGCCGTTAAAAAACTTACATAAGATGCCCCCATAAATGATTCTAAGAAAAACCGTAGTTGCATCATAAAGTTATCTCTACAATGAAATAGTTCGTACCAGGTGTATCAAAATACTCAGGGGGGTCGTGAAACAACTTTGCTTCGCGGAGTCGATGCCGCTTCCCCTCAGTGCCTCCAAACTGGAACGTCGTGTGTACTGCATATGGCACCAAGTCTAGCTTCTTGTACAGTTCCTATTTCCCAGATGTCCAAACATCGTCCCAAATTGGAATCAGAAAACCTTGTATATATTTTAAACAAAACAGGTAAGATGCATGTTGCAAAATGAAGGGTGTTTGACCACATGTTAGGTTTGAGGAAATTCGATCAAGAGTAAAAGGCAACAAATAACCAGAAAATGAACAGTCCACCGGTACGATTAAAGTGAAAATGGAGAAGAAAATTGCTCACTTATGTGTCCAGAGCATTATTTTATGAAGACTCAACGCGTCGACTACATGTCAATGAAACTATCTAAAATAGTTGTCTACAGTCAAGAATTTCACCAAATAAAAAGCAGACAATACAAGGTGAGGAGTAAGTTTCACAGCAGCAAAAATACCTGTATAAAGTACGTATGACCACTGCAAAATAGACTGACTGGTAAAATGCCCATCTTTAGATTTCCCCGATACGCCCAGAAAAGACTATCGTGTCCAACGGAGGGACCTGTTACGTTCCGCGCAAGATCGTTGAATCCATTTTGATCCCATATTTTATCATCTGAGAGCAGGAGTTGTAACCACTCCTTTGCGAGCTCTTTTGCTATAGTTGTTGGACGCCAGAAAAATATTCCGATGTTGTAAGCCCCCCATGCTGACCAGCCACACAGAAAACGGTGATTTGTCAATGAAAGGATGAATACAAAACAGCTCTCAACGGAATGCACTAACACCTCGTTGCACTACAAGCACTGATTCCGAAAAGGATAGGTCCGTTGGATTTTAAATATCGGAGGTTATCCTTCCAGAAATTAGTTTTTGATATTACTTCTAATATTGAAAATAAATCAATCAAACACCACTAAATACCAAAGTCATGAGTTTACATTGTCCATAGAATTCAAGTCTGTCGTCGTCCACAGAATTTACAACCTCGTCACTGGAGGTCAAAATGTCCGCATCAGGAAAGCGCTCGAAGTACGGGAAAGGATCCTGTGTTGGATCCATCAACTCATATTAAACAAGAATATTAAACAAGAATAGAGTGATTGACCCTATGATCAGCACTCATTATGAATTACAATATGTTAACTTCCCTTAGTAGTATGCTAGTAGCGCAAGTTAATCAGATATTTCAATTTATTTATTAACAGCATGTTCTTCCTATTCGGAATCACCTCGATTGTAACGTATCCTATCTCTGTTCACTCAATGAGAGCTTGCATGAAATCCAATGAACACCTTACTTCAAACAACTGCATCGAAGATGGAAACACCTACAACATTTGAAAAGCAATTAAAATTTTAAAGCAAACAATGACATTTAAATGCATACCTGAAGGAAAACAACATCCGTATCGCACATCAGAATTTCATATCCTTCAGCAAGAAAAGCATTGATAAGTATAACTTTCTCCCTGCCCATTTTGTGGAACTTGGGAGTACCCCACCCAACATCAACCGTCTCCATGCCACTGCGCATGTCGAAGACTGGAACCCCTTTCCAGAAAAGAGCTTCAAGGATTTTTGTGTCCATCGCGCCTGTACACAAATAAAACCGCTCTCTATCAGAAGAATGCAATAGTGTGACATTCTAAATTCGAAACATATATAAAGTTTGCTATAAATGAAGGGGTGAACTACATCAAAATGGATACTTAAATGCTACAAAGTGGAGGACGTACCAACGAGGATATTTGTAACCTCGACGTCGGTTAAATGCCGAACCCAATTAAGGACGAAATCCATAAAAGCAAAATTCGCGAACGTCACCGCTATTACATTCTTTTTAGCCCGGAATTCAATCATCTCTTTCGTCAAGGCAAACGCATCTCGTGGCGGCAACTGACTTCCAGCAGGAGGAACCTCCCATATGGGCTGTCTCAACGCTGGATGTAATCCAAAATTGGTTTCATCATTTCTGCCAGGCTTTGACCGACGTCCAGGTTTCTGGGATCGCGTTTCATTCTGTTCCCCAGATGTCGATCCACCTCCATTTCGCCACTCACGGAAGCCTGCAAGAGGACAAAAATAAATACCAGACGCTGGTTCAACATCTGAAATCGAAGTGAAATCGAAGGTATTAATTCAAATCTTAACCAAAATTATTCTCTACTGATGCAGTTAAAATGACTAGTCAACAACGTCACACATATTTCAGCTATTCTAGTATCGTTTGACTGCTCTGTTTACCTGATGCAAAATAGCTGCAACTTCCTGGAAAGGATCACAATTACACAAGACCAGGGATCTTGCCAATGACAATGCCATTGCGAACCCTACCTTTTGAGATTGAACTACCAAATTATAGAATGTGCAATTGAGTCATACACATGAATGTACTGGTATTAAACACGGCAGAGGAATCATACTTCCTTCTAATCCCCAAATCGTGCGATTAAAGTTCATATTTAGGAGTATAAACCTATTATCACATATCATGAGACAATGAACGACCAGCCACACGAATAAGACGCTGAATTGCACCTGAAATCAACCCTGAAGTAGGCTGGGAAGTAGCATCTTGCGTATTTGCAAAAGATTCGAGGTAGATAGGCCGCCCCAAATAGAAAGAAAGGAAGAGCACCACCAGCACTGCACTGAATTGAACGCACAAAGTGACAGGCTTCATGGCACTCAGTTGCGCACCTCGTGTAATGGATTCGCTTAAAACTCAAGCTTATCATTCATGTGTGCTAATCTTCCCGCGTAAAAGTGCTCACAAAACTGTACCGTAATAGCACGCCTCTGCATCCTTTTCTCAAAAATTTCGATCAAACAAACTCTGCATCCACCACTTCCTTTACGATCCCTCAGCTGATGCAGGTGAAATCGCCGCAATTACTGACAGTGGACACCATGGGATGAAAGCTACGTGGAAAATACGCACAATTGACAAAGCTTACGAGACGAAGAATGGCGAACTTGAATCATACCCATTAGACTCAAGAAAGCTTCGGCCTAACAGAGCGACCCCTCCTTGTCCGAACCGCATCAGCAATAATTCACTGGAAAAAAAAAGGGAAAATGCAAAATAAAAATAAAAAACACGATCTCCTCACCAAAACTCCCTATCAAACAAAGGGCCTATACGCCCCTCTCAGCATGTCCTTCCCACCTATAACCCAACAAAAAAGATCCACCGGCTCGAAAGAAGAAAAACCGAACAGGAAAATTGACACCGCAAAGGACGCAGGATCCCGAGATCTGCCAAGAAATCCACCCTCCTCTTTGTCACAGCCCAGTACCCACCCTCAAATGCCGAAATCTAATAGGAAAGTTACCGAAGTCCCATCAGAAAAACGGAAATAATCCACTCAGCAAAGAGATTGATAATCTTCTCCTACATCCCAGTATACCCACAACTGATCTGAAAAAAGGGGGAGAAACAAAAAAAACAAAAATCCCCGACGATCATGACACGGAGCTGAAGGATCAACAGTTGGGCGGAAAAAAAACAGGGGAAAAGACGAGCGGGCGTCCAAGCAATGACCGGCGTCCACCCGCACGGATCCAAAGTGGCACCGCCGATCTACAACTACCAGGTCACGCCGTGACGAAAAGTCGTCGATTGAACCCCGGATTTTCGCAAGACCGCCACGCACTCAGATTAAGAGACGAGATCCCGGCTATGGCCGCCAATCCTGTGCAAGTCCTCTACCCTTTCTCTTCTTCTTCTTCTTCCTCTTCCCCATCCCCGTCCCGTCCCTTTCCCGTTTTGGCCTTTGCTTTCCTTTCCTTTTCCTCCGCCCCCTTCCCGATCCTTTCCGATTCTGCAACCCCTGCCTGCGCGTCATTACTCGCTGCCATCGCATAAGTGCAGATGCGTCACACCATCGGCACTGGTCTGCAATGCGTCACATCATCGACTTTGGATTTGGTTTTGTGTTGCTTGGTTTCGCCATTGCTTACCACCCCCCCTCACGGTTTTACCCCTTCACCGTGCATTTCCTTTCGTAGCTGCTTATTCCGTGTGTTGGGCCCTTCGCCCCTCACCCCCCCCCCTCGTTTGGCATTCCTGGTGGAAGTTAATTCTTCACATCATTGTTCACTTTTTGTGTAGTTATTTGGTGAATTTGTGTGTATTTTATGTAAAAGAAAAAGAAAAAGAAGAAAAAAAAAATGAATCATGTAGATTGTTTGAGAAATATTTATTAATTTATGGTGAAATTACAACGAGTCAATTCTCTACTATATGATCTTGTGTTTAAGATGCGATGATCCTTCATTTATACAAAGCTCATGCACAAAGCAAGAACATAAAAACACAAAAAATAAAAATAAAAAGTCTCTTGAGGTTGATTTTGATCTAGAGTTGATTATAGTTTTTGTCTTGGGACTAGGAAGTAATTATGGTCTTGGGGATAATCTTGGTCATAATCTTGAATCTATTTGTAGATTTGGAATTATTTGTTGCTTGAAAGGAATCTCGAAATATATTTAGCTTGTTGTCAAATAAAAAAAATAGAGTATATTTGAACACTTGAAATAATTTTATTAATCAAGATATTTGGTTAAATGTACATTGGTTACTTTTTAATTACTGATTTTAAAATAATTCGGAGAATAATTGAAAGATGTAAATATGGATCTAATCTGTTAAAAAACAAGTTAGACTAAGTGCATTCTCTAAGAATTATTTCTCTGGTCTATTTTCTTCTTGTAATATCCTTTGTTGGTGTTATGGTGAAATATAAAGTTATTTGAATTCATAAATTAAGTAAAGGATGTTAAATTTCAAGGGTTACATAGACATTCAAGTAAAAAGAATAATGAGAATCATATATTCCAGAGAAGTGTGAACCAAGTGACATATGTACTATTATTTGATTATATATATACAAGTATGCAATTTTTTAAAATATTTTTCAACACGTGGTTATTCTTTAGGGTTACAATAGTTTGGGTATTGCTTAAAAAAGCTATATTTGAAAATATTAATATTTATAAATTTCACTACTAATTGTGGTTCTTCAATATGTTGTTGTTTTTTTATATATTTTTAAATTCCTAATTTAGTATAAATATTTCAACTATATATATATATAATTATTTTTTTACACATATCTCCCATGTGTTTGTGAATAACAAAAAATGCATGCTTAGTTATGTGCTTGGGTATGTGGTATTTGAACAAAGGACTGACAAAATTCTCATTGCTCTTATGTACTTCTACTATGTGTTTTTTGTATGAAAAAAATTACCATATATTTAAATACACACATATATCTATCTAATAAAACAACATAGGTATAACACATGGTACAAAGAAGGCTTCTTATTGGCCAAACATTGGAACAAAGGAACATGGAAGAATGAGAAAATGGATGGATGTGCCACAGATTGCAATGCCCAACAACATGGATTTTTGCTAATATATACATTTACATATATATATATATATATATATATATATATATCTACTTGCACAAACCATGCCATTGGACACAAAAAATATTTTAATACAAAATAATATAACATATCATTGTGAAAGGCCAACATGGTGAAATATTTTTTGAAATTAAGACAAAAGGGTGACATAAAATAAAACAACATAAAATGAGAAAGGGCAACTTATGTGAAAAAAGCAACATATATTTTTACATTGTGAAAGAGCAACCTCCATTTTCACGTTGTAAAATAATGACATATGTTTTTGATCAACGAGAAGACTTTTTCTCAATGGACACAATTCCATTATATTATAGATTCACACGCACACAAACAATTTTCTTTGTTGCATGTTTGTGTAAGCAAAACCTAATCTTGATGCTCAAAGTAATTTACACGGTTTAACAAAACAAGACTACATTCTCTGCAACTTTTAATATCACCTTATTTACACCACAGTGAGATAAACACCACAAAGCCAAAAACACATTTCTGTACGTAATATTCTTTTCATTCATTCATTCATTCATTATTTTGTGGATTTAACCCTCGTGAACATGAAATTTTGATGTGAGTTCGTTATCATGCACTTTTCATCCTCCATCATTCGTTGAAGGATGAATTTACGATTGGGGGGGGGACTCGTCCTTGTTGGCAGCACTGGCAGCACTGACCGCATGATTGGATGCGTCAGAAGGATAGATTAGCTTTGCAAGTTAGTCCGTCCTCATTCCCCTTCTCTAACGGTCTCTGAGCTCGCTGGACATACTTTCTGCTGCAGATTCTCCCCTGCTCAGAAATTTTTCGTCTCATTGCATTTAATTCGAGCTTTAAATGTATTCGTGCTTGTGGCAAGTTCTCCGTATTACTCAGAGCAAAGCCTTTGATAGGTCCGACGAAACGACACGCGAAGTTCAGTATCTATGATGGCGTGCTTCATGTTCCCAGGATCTTAGTTGTTTTGCTGATGACAAATGCATGACCTGATCAAGCATGCCTCGATGGCAAATTGGAAGAGTCGTGCCGAGAGATTATATCATAATGGCTGCCTTTTACATTCGTGTTGTTTTTTCGGACGCGAGTTAACAAGATTTCATGCATGATTGAATGTTGAGAGCTATTCAAATAGCGGTTTTCAATCATAGCGAGTCACTGGACACATTCGACAACAGTTTCTTCAAATTCTGTTTAATTTCTCGGTATAGGCCTTCATTGCTCTAAAGCAGATGAACTCTTCTGCCAACAAAGTTCTGTGTAGTCTGCTATGCAGGTTGCTGAAGCTCTTGCACAATACATTTAGAATGAAGCGGCGTCTGAGGAACGTGGATGCAGACGGAAGCAGCAAAGCATCACCGTATATAAAATATTCTCGTGTAAAAGCTAATCGTTGTGTACCGGAAACTACAGCATTCTGTGGCGTATTAGGAAAAAAACTCTCATTGCGTCATTTTCATTATCAAAATGTTCGGAGTACAAAGACGCGAACTGGACGATATAATCAAAAAAGTAAATTAGGGGAACAATGAACAATTCAACTGATCCATCAATCTTGGCAGCGCTGCTTGTCAATGATTCAGTTAGAAGAAATGTTATATAAATAAACAGTGCCAGAGCATTTCAGGAAAGAACCACTTTTGATAGATAGGTTTTGAATGCTGTGGTCAAGTTTCCAATGATGAAGGGACGAAAACGCCAAAATAGAACAGAAACTGTAAAGGGTCACCCTGAAGAATTCGATAATGTTGAAGACGCCGTCATGTCTCTGCCGGACATACTCGTTACCTGTGGAAATTCATTTGTCTAAAACCCTGTAGGGTCGGTCGTGACGACGCCATAAGATCTGCCGCTGGGCTTCTAGTTGCTAGGCTGAGTGAGATAACTTTAGATGGGCCAGGTCAAAGAATAGGTAAGGTGGTGAAAAGCTGATCTTGACAATTTGAGACACTTAGTGTCTATCTTAATTGTTCAAAGACTTTGACCTTTCGTTGTTTGGATAATTTGCCGCTAGAGGCATGTTAACATTCCTTTTTTATTCAATTATCACGGCAGTGAGTACAAGTCTAATGCGAGGAATCTCAGCTTGTATTCTTTTTTCCATTGTTTTTGTTACTAATTTCATAAACGTCCCTCTTATCGACATTGCTGTTCTTCGGATCGGAGAACATATTTTCCGATTGAGCATGAGTATTTAGATTACGTTTGTGTTGAATTGTGCTTGTTTGATGTTGTTGCAAGTCCACAATTGTGAGAAAAAATCATTTACGGATACTTTTTGATGTGGTTGTGCACGTCGCCCGCCTGCCTGCAATGCTGATAGAATTAGTTGCAATTACAAAGCTACAAGTCGTTTGGTCAAATTTTAAGCATCATGTGGATATCAAGTATTGAGGACAATTTTGTCCCGGTGCTGCGCAGCTGATTAGAGTTTTGCGTCTTGTTTCAGTGGTCCACATTCTCTGAGACGTAGAGGTTGAAGAGCTTACTCTGCATTGCGTCTCTCAATAGATTTTGGAATGTGACGACCCTCCAGTCTAAATCAAATTGTTTTTAAATTGGGGAAGAAATATAGATGTTTTGTGTCTTGAACGGTTCTGAGGTAATTTTTTAACTTGTATTTTAGTTACTCCATAGCCATTAGAGGTTATCTCTTTTGTCTTTTCTATTGTTCAAAGAATTTTATCCATTGCCACAACATGCTCTGTTTTTGTAGACTTTGTTGGTTACAATGAACTTAAGGTGTAAATTTTATATTAGAAATAAAATAACTTCTTTCAAGTGGATGCTGTTGAATTGAGGCAACTTAGCCATTTTTTTAGGAAATAGAGTTAGGTTTGATGATAGTAATCTTACTTGTATTTTGATCATTATTGCAGATATTGATTTCTAACACTAATAGAATATGTCCAAGGAAAGACTTTTCTTGTTTAGAAGATTGCACTAGAAATGTCCACCATTGACAATCTACAAATACTTGTGTATACATACTAGATGTGGATTCTTGGCAATTTTTTCTTTATCAAATTGTCATTCTTAAACCAATTCTTCTTATAAAGAAAACAATATCCATCCATCACATTCACCTCACTATAAGTTGTGAATCTCTTTCTGAATGATTTTATAACAACCTTACTACCTATTCAAGTATTCAAGGTGTTCTTCACAAGTTGGCATTGAATAATGAATTCTATACCATTCTAAATGGTAGGACATGTATTTATTATGATTTTTGTTGATGTTGGAGCTAATAGAATAAATACAATTTAGAATGTAACCAACATCAAGGTTATCTACAAGAAGAAGTTTTCACTCTAATTGACCTTTTAAAAATATTGAAAAGAAGATGTTTGGCTATAATCGAATTGGTACATTTCAAAATTATTCAATAAAACCAATTTTTATGTGTTAGTTATCAAATCTTATTGAAGTGTTTTTTAGTGGTATTTTCTTTCACCACATGAAAAACAAGTTCGAACTAAGTTTAGGTTTTATGATTCACATTTATTTAAGTTCATTAATCAATATTAATGACATTAATTTTTTAAAGATATTTTATGAAAATGATGTTTGTTGCAAATGAAGATTGTCTTGTATCCAATCCACTGTTACTTCACATCTTTCATTACCTTTGCAAATCCCTCTCTTTGTAATAGCTACTATGGTTGCAACATTTGTGATTAATTATTTAAATAAATAAATAAATATATGTATATATATTATAATGTCTTTGATGCCATGAAATTTTCTATCTTGTTAAGTAGATTCTTTACAATAAATGGAGAGAAGTATGATATAATGATTATAATAGATAGATGTATTTATTCCAAGAAAATAGTCAACAACAACTAAGGTAGTTTGTATGTGAGGACATTCTCTACTATAACATATTATAGAATTAATTACTTTTATAGCAACAATTTTACATGTCATCTTTTTTAATAAATTAATTTAAATATCAAAACTGTTGTAATTGGTCTTAATTCTATCATGATAATTTAAGCACCAAATTAATTTACAGAAACTTATTTTTAATAGTGTAATCTATAAATTCAACAAATGTTTGATCAATAATGAAGATATATACAAAATATTGATGAAAGTAAATTTGGAGATACTAGAAATATGATTTTCTTGACATTCTTTTTTCAATATTTATGCTAGTTAATATGGAATGCAATGTTTATAATTATCAATACAAAATGTCTTAATAGAGAGTACTTTTGACATGTAAAATACAAAATGTCTTAATAGAGAGTACTTTTGATATGTAAAACTGCTCTAGTGTTTCTTCTCTGTCTTAAAGACCTCATAGTCATTGTTTATTAAGTTGGCACAATAATAAAGTAAATTGTTTTATGCATCATTGTAATTCCTTCTTATGCTTCTACTAATTCTTTCTATCACAATAGCATGAGCATCATTATATAATTGATGAACTTCTTTCTAAATATATATTAATACCTTCATCTTATTATTTTTTATTATGGTAGCTTTAAGGTCTAAATATAAATATTGACCACATAATTTGGTATAAGTCTAATAGTAAACTTGGCATTCAAGACCAATAAATATATCTGCATGATTTATACAATCACCTCCCTAACCTACTTCAAGCTATATCACTACATGAAGCTTCTTCCATGGTATGGATTCAATGCCTATGTGTCATTTTTGCAAATCACAGTTTATTTGTTTTTACATTATAAAGTTTCTTCTAATAAAAGATATTAAATTTTACTATTTTGTTGTTTGTATACACATCCCTTGAATTTATTACAAATATAATTATCTTTCATTATAATTAATTTTTTGGGACCGAAGAAACTATTAATTATATAATATGATTGATTATATAATATTAATTAGATAATATAGTGTAGGTAGTGTAGATAGTGTAGACTGTGACAAAAAAAAATATATTGACTATAATCCAAAATTAACTTTGAAGAGGTTGACTATAACACACGCTGATTATAGCAAGGACTAACTATATTTATTGGATCTTTTCATTTAACAAGGAAAATTTATAGATATATGTAGGTGAATAGAGTAATATTTCTTCTATTTATAATACAATCTAAGAGCATTATATGATGTCTGCTTAAAAAACTCCCAATATGTCATTTAAAATATTGTTCTAACAAAAAGTCTTTGGTATGTCTTAGTAGCAATCTCTTACAACCTAGATTTAGAATTCCATTAGATTTAAATACTTATTCAATTCTTTGAAATCATAAAAGGAGGTTGACTTATTTTACTATGATTAGAGAAATTACATCTCTTCTTGCCTTCATTCTGTCTAAGATTTTGTCAAAAGAAAAATCAAACCATGTACATTGATGAGTCTATTTTCATTGGTGCCATGGAAAACAAGCCTCTAACAATGACTATCAATTAGACTTTTTAGTTCTTAGAGGGATTTATTATTTATTATTTTTTTAAAATATAAGGGAGTAGACACCTTTGTTGCTTTATGACAAGGAACTATAATTCTATTCAATTTGTTCCCAATTAATCAAGACCAACCATACATTGAATTGTGCTTTTTATTTTATGTTTAAATATTTCATTTTACTCTTTAAGCTGAAGATTCTATGTGATTTTTTCATAGACTAATACACATATCATGTTGGTAAGTATAAACAAAAAAAAAGGACCAAAAATCCATGTATTAAATAAGCAAAAAACTTAGAAAATATTAATGTAATGGCTAAAATTACCATAAAGTACTTCAAAATATTTTTTAAAATTCTCAAAAACTACCAAACTATATTTTTAGATTTTTTTTTTAGAAAAAATTATTTTACATCCCAATGTCCAAGTATCATTTTTCACAAAAAGTTTTAATCATAAAGTTATTAGTGTAAAAATTGTTACTTTCACATGTGTAGTGAAATAAACTATTCAATCACAATAAAATCATATCAAATCCATCTTGTATAAATTATAATAATAAATTAACAGTATATTAAACTATGAAACTCAATTTGAAACTTAAAATTGTCACAAAATAAAAAAAATACCTTTCATATATATATATATATATATAGTTAGTGATATTTTTAAAAAGCCTTGAATAAAAATGGATTAGAAACATTACCCCATATACACTTACTTTTTAAAATATTAATTGGATTTGTAAAAAACATGAGATTTATTTGGAATAAAAATTCCTGCATTCATGCTTCAAAGATGTAATGTTTTTAAAAGCATGAAAGTGATTACTAAAGTTCACGTGAAATTTGCAAGCAGGGTCTCTAGAACATGTGTCGCCAAAGAAGCAATAGAATCTACCAAATTTTACAAAAACTAATTCCATTTGCTCAATAACGCACTCACAAATGTTTTCGAGTACTCTATAATACAGTGGAAATAATAAATAGATAAAAGAGAAGCAAAAGAAAAGAAAAGAAAAGAAAAAGAAAAGGAAAAATGATGCATCTTTGGCTGCAAGGCACAAGGAATTCAATAAACCCTAGCAGCTCATCCACGGATGAAGTTGAAAGGGGACTTGATCTGAAGTCCCTCTTCTCATTATGAAGACCCTTCTTTGTTCAAGAGGAACTCGCCTGCGACGCCGGTTGCTTCAGAAACGGGAAGACGTGGAGCGGCTCCCATGGCCCGCCGCGGTACGCCCACAGCTGCAGCGCAGTGCCCGTAGCCTCGAACGGCTGGAACTGCGCGGCTAACTCGCGGTGCAATGCCGCCGCTGCGGCAGCGTCAACCTTGTTCTGAACCGTGATGTGGGGGTAGAGCCGCTGCTGGTCCTGCGGCGTCAGCTCCGGGTGCCACTGCCTCTGCAGCCGCTTGTGCAACGCTCGCAGCCGCTGGCTCTCGAGCGTGAACGCCACCCCGCGCCCGAGATTTCGCACCCCTGTGACCGCAATCGGCAGAGGCGCTTCCGCTGTTGCCGTTTCTTCAATCTGCGAGCGGATGTTGTCGTAGTTATGGCTTGGTAAGTGATGGAACAAGGTGAGATGCGCCTTGAGGAAGCTACGTTCCTTGGGAAAGTGTTCCTCCCGCAATGTGTCGAAGAAGTGCTGGGATTTGGGGTCAAGGACTAGGGTTAGAACGATTGGGGCGGTCACGGTGCTGGCCATAGCTGGTGTGTATTGTCGAGTGGATGCATCTCTCGTAGCTAGCGGTGCAAGGCTTGTGATCATTCCTAGCTGTGGTTCCAGCAACAATCCCAATTCCGTCTTCTGAGCTCTAAAATACTGTTGCAGTTTGCCTTGACCTCGGAGAAATTGAGCGGAAGCTGTTCAAAGTTAAAGACATTCTTAGCGACTCTGCAGACCTAGTGAATGAGTAGAGAAAAAACTCTAACCTGATTTTGTACTTCAGATGGAGTGCAAGAATTCCATTCCCCCTTCCGCTTGTTCCCAAGCTTCTCTGCGTACTGAGAACAGGTAGCAAGATATTCTTCGCGGCAGAGCTGCCTTCAGATTGCAATGAGCCATGCAGTTCGCATTTAGATGATTTGATAGATTTGCATAACCTTGGAGTAGTGGAAGGCTTTTTCATCTCACATCGAGCGATTCTGTTCCACGTCCTGGGTGCAGATTTCTTCCAAGTGTCACATGAACTTAGCAAGTTGGTTTGCCATATGTCAAGTGACGCTGCTTCCGCAAGGGGACCAAGACTTGACACAGCGAAAATTGCTCGTAACGTATTCTTGGATGAAGCTTAACATCCAAAACAGAAGTACAGCGATACTTGGTGCAAATCTTAACTTTACACCAAATAGCCGGCAGATTCACATTCTGTTTGCGACTCGGTTATCGAAAATGCAGAGGAATCATTATTCTATGCAACAGTAGAAGGATTGTACATCCTCTAGCAATACGGAAGCCTGATTCTGAGATTGAATCAGAATGGTTCCATCCGGTACTGTCACAGGACACTAAACACGGTTATGATATTCTTCTTGTAGAGTAAACAAAGTCAGCCGACTGCCCACGATGAAAAATTATGTTCAATCATTCACAGAATTGTGGTGCAAGCAAGGAAAATCTCGTAAAAGGTCGTATGCACAACTAAACAAATTTCTTAATTGCAGGGTTCTAATTTGTTGGAAATTTAGAGTGTCTCAAGCTTGTAGATTTGGTCATTCTTTGTTATGCTTTAGGAAACCATTTGCATATATCTGCTTACGAGATTTCTCAGGAGTCTGTTATTTTTCTTCTTTTTTCTTCACATAATGAGGGATCTTCATTTCTGTTCAGTGACACATTTGCAGCTCGTTGATTTGTCCATGACAATGTCACTATAATAACACTCTATCTAATGGATCGCAAGCGATGCAGATTACCAAATCATTGTTCTCTCAATGAGCCATGGTAGAATCATGAAGAAGCTTGCACATCGAATCATGGTAGCCATGTGCCATTCAGATACTTGCCGTGAATATGCTGCCTGAAGTAGTTATTGATACAAGTTTAGCCCATTAATATGCAGTTTGATACTCTAAGTGAATCACGGTGTTGAAAAAGTTCAATTGTTGCGGCATTTAGTCGTCAAGTGGTTACAGATGTGGATACTCACAAAGAGAAATTTGTAGATGACTGAGTGTGTAAATGTTTCTTGTTTCTCTTTTCACCTATGGAGGAAATCAGATGTTTAGCTTTGAGCATAAAGATTCTGCTCATACATTATACCAATTCCCACGATATATTCTCCGACACCTTTTTGTGTGATTATTTCGACATTGGTGGAAACTTTTTTTTGCAGGCCTTCAATGACTTGTGTCGCAAGGCTGATTTTCTTTCTATTCTTCTCCTGGTGAATAGACTGTTATGATCTCTAATCAGGTGGAAAGAGTTTCGTGGAGCTACTATCTTGAAAAGAATCAATAGACACTGAAAACTCACCAGCATGGATAAATGTTTACCTTCAACAAGGAGCCAACATAGATATGCCCTTGTAAATCTAACTTGTCCATTTGTTAATTTTGAAGTCAAATCTCTCCCACGATCCTTTCACGATTGCTCCATGTCGTTTCCAATCTTCCAACAATTTCAACGTCATGCATGACAAAGTCGTCGAACTCGATGCGATCAACCCAGGGTATCATACCTTTGGAACAAAACCATCCTCCCTGTGCTCATCGACTTCAGGCAATCGGCTGGCGGAGGAGGCGAGTAGCTTGCAATTGTCTGAGCGCATGAAAATTTGCGGCTTACCTCCATCCGTCTCTTTGAAGGTTAGTGTGTTGTCTCTCGGAAGTTGGGCTTATTATCTCTTACGCACACGCCAGCGCTGTTGTTTGTTTTTTGTTTTTTGTTTTTTTTTTTTTTTCTCCACGTTTCACATCGCTTTGATTAGCATTTTGTGTGTGGCCATGGTATTTCATGGAATGGTTATGGAGCTGCTGCGTTGACGGTAGTTTCGGTTTCCACTCTTCTGTGTTCCACGAATTGGCTTTTCGTGTCTCGACAGGGGAAGGTAGGAAAGTTTGGTATGCAAGGCAAGTGTTATATTCTAGAATTCCAAGTTGCACATCTAGTTTTGTTAGATTATAATCAGTTTGTAATAGCAACTCACCTACCGCATAACCAATTCTGCATGTGTGAGAGTAGAATGGTGGGAGTGTCAAATCTTAGTGAGCGGGAGACTAAGCACCAAATGATACCTTGAGCACCTTTCAAGTCCCATTTGGGGTGCAATCAATGCAGCAATCTACGCAAGAAAGTCAGGGTTTGATTTTAACTTAGACATTTTACCTTCACATTTAAAGTATATGATACAACTGGTTGAAGTGATAAATGAAGAACTGAAAACGATAAAGGGAGCAACTTATAGATTCAGAGTAATGAAGTAACACACTATTTTTCACCCAATATTTCTACCGATAAAATTTCATGTGATAAATAGTTCACATGATACTATTAGTATGTTTCTTTCCTTCATTTAGTTCTACTTACTTGTCACAATGTCAGGGGCTCAACAATAATCGGAACACAGGTAGGATTCCAGCTATAGAAACCTTCAAAGATACACAAGATAACTGCTACGTGGTACTCGATCGTGAGTTTCATCCTCCTTTTGGTCACCACGTGTAATACTGGCTTTTATATTTTATTATCAAGAACCTCTATGGCCTAGAATAGCATCGTGCCATATGCGTTGCAATCAAAGCAAATTTATGAAAGAATGTATCATCTGTTCACACAAGTACTTAGCTGCTTTGGATACACTGAAATACTCTTTCTTTCATCATTGTGCAAGTGTATTTCCTTCCTCAGATAATTTCAAAGTTTTCATAACAGGGTATTAGAGACGTGATCAGTTGAAACACATTTTATATACTCTCATTGTACAGTCCATAAGGAGTTCTCACCTACTGACGGTAATTTTGAGCATGTTGTCTACTATCGTACATATTTTTGGCTAGTAACTGGATGGAAAGATGAGAAGGCCAGTGACAGGCAATTAAATGACAAAGAAAGGGATAGAATTACAAGATGGAAGACTTTCAGTGCGCAACAATCAATCGAACAGGTGCACACTTATTATCTCTACGACTAACTAATCGTTGTGCCTACAATTCAAACATTTCGCTCAGCTGGGGTTGCAATGCCGGAGTTAGTCCTCGACGTCATGTTGGATCTAGCATCCTGGAAATCTGCATCTTCGAACTGATCGCCCTCCAACAAGCAAGTGGGTGTGTAAGCTTGAACAATCGTGTCCATGGACGGCGTCTCTTTCACTGGTTGGCTTGCTACGTACAGAGAAACAACTGCAAACGATTTGTAGAAGTTTCTCTTGCAATAGAGGTAGAACGCAAATGTTGCTAGTGGTAGAAAGATCAGGAATACTGTGTAAGGGAACTTTTTCACTGCGAAAAATCCCAGAGCCGTAATTTGGGACACAAGAAGAGCCACAAGGATACGGTTGTGAATGTGTGGCCACATCCTTCCGTTGCTTTCCCATTCGGGGACATATACATTCAGAGCCTACACCACAACCAGGCACACTTATTGAGTTCACAGGTTCACGCATGTCATCTGAACTCTAAATTTCCAGAGGTTAATCACATGCGATGTGCTGAAAATGAAGGGACATCTAGCTGAGGGGCATGTCTATTGGTTCTTACCGAATTGCGCATCACCAACCATCCAATGGCGAAGTAAAGAAAGGCGAAGACGAGGATCATGGGAGCAATGACCGAGTAGCTAAGAGTCAATGTCACAACTAGCAGGTCCGATGGAACACTGGTGTGATAAGAGAATGATCCCGGGGCCCAGGCGTCTTCCAGCTCCCGCTCTGTCTTGCAGAGAAACTTACGTTTGATGTGATAAATTATGAGTGGAATGATACGTGAAATTTCCAACCCATAACCAACAAAGAACCTGCACAAGATATTAGAAAAAACACGTTTAAAATTTGCACAACGAAGGACCACTTTTATCTTTGACAGAATGTATGATGGGGGTCTCAAAACTGGGAAGCCTACAGCGGACTCCCGTTTTAATTCTTCGTAATATAACTGAATACTTTTCGATCATGGCTTTCAGAAGGGATCACGAAAGCACAGAGATGTGATTGAAACTCACTTCAGGGCAACGTATGTGATGAAGTAGGTCGAAACTGGAGGCAGCTTGGTACCAAATAATTCGACGACCTTACTCACAGAGAGTTGCTGCTGGTCGATCAAAACTTTGAAACCTTTAAAACTTGAGAAAACGGCACCAAAAATTGTGACTCCTAAGAATACATTGAAGATCATGAAATAGAAGTATTTTCCAGATGCAGCTCGTGAAATGTGACTCTTAGACGGAATTCCTTCTGCTTTGGACAACGTCAAAAGCAGTTTCGGTAGCAGCGCCAGGAAGACAATGAGAGCAAGTTGTGGCAGGTACGCCTACAGGCAAACACGTAATCGTTTTAGTGCGGATTACAACATATCTCAACGGAAGTCGGGCACACGGAGCTTCAAAAAGAAACCAAGGAAAATTCAGGTGCTTTCACAACTAATCCGCACTGAAGAGACTTACTTGCAATATGGCATTCAAAGCTTTGATGCGGGTGATGGATTTGATGAACGGAAGGACCGTTTCCAAGTTCTCAAGGGTTGTGATCGCTGAAATCGCTGCAATGGGAATCATGTAAAAAATGACTACGAAGAATGTCACGACGTATACAACGGGCTTCCGAATCGAGCGTTGCCAGGCAGATAAATGCATATTCCTCCAGATACACTCCCTGGGCTCTGCGGCTGGCTCCACTTGCCATTCGAGAGCGTAGGCTGCGTGAACCGACTGCAATAAGAACATTCGCTTCATCAGCTTGCGTGGTAAGAAATTGGGAATACCATAGAATCATCAGCTGCATTCCCAGACAAGCACGTGATTATCGTTAAATTCAAACACCGTCACTACCTGTGCAGCCTGGGCGGCAGCAAGTCTCTCATTGAAAAAAACAAGAGCAGCGTCTTCGTTGGCTTCTGCTTTGCATTTTTTACGCGCCTCCTCTAGCTGAGGAGTAAGCTCGTGGATTTTTTTGGTCCAGAATTCAATGGAGTCGACCTTCGGTCCGAGCAAACCCATGAAACCAGTCTTGTGCATAGGTCGGACGCCATCACTCCCTGGTTTGCCTTTAGACAACTCAAACACTGCTTCGGCGTGCTCTAGTTTACGCGAAGCAACCTCACGCTCGTTGTACAGACTTTCAGCCTACTCAGCACCGTCATTTGTTAGCATCTTAAAGATTCATCCATTACACTGATCACAACAAGAGGAATGCAGAGAGTCAGCAGCCACCAAATTGAACAAGTCATGATCACAAGTTTCTAAAACCTTTCCTACCAATTAGGTACAAAAAATGGATTCTGAGGCGGCACCTCGCTGAAGTCGTGCATGATCATGCAGCGCTCATAAGAATGAGGATGCACCCTTCTAAAAAAAGACTCCACTTGCTCAGTGCGTTTCTCGTGTTCCTGGGAGACAGGAATGTCCCGCACAAGGACTGTATACTGCTGTGGACGAGACACTTCGGAGGAGTGCATCATGTTGCGCAGGGAGAAAACTTTCTTGTAAGCTCTCCACAGTGAGTAATAAGTGACAATGGAGACCCAATAAACCCCAATAAGGAATGCCCATATCTTGGGACTCCCGCTCTGTGAGGTCATCATCAAAGACCTCTGCGTTAGTTTCTGTCAGACGATGAAATGTCTACATCTCAGGAACATGGGATCAAAGTCACAAGCTTCGAAAAGTTTGGTTGAGTCCTTACCGGAATGTTGCTCATGCTCAAATTGTCAAAACCCGAGTAATTGAAATCGTTACTTTTGTTTTTCGCCATTTCGAAGTTGTTATTCTCCGTCGCGCAGATGGGAATCAGAACAATAATACAAAAAACTGCCGACAGCACTGTAATCTCCAGCGCTGCAGGATGGTTCAGGACAGATTAAAGTATTAAAAATGTGAGCCGTTGACGCATTATTCGGGGCCATAAGAGGCACCTCAGGTGTATTTCATGGCGGAAATCAGCGCTACAAATCAGTACTACCGACGTAATGGGACAACCTGTGGGAAATAAGTGCCACTCTAAGTCGAATTGATTCACAGAATTCGAATAATTTGAGGAACATTGTCAACACTACTACCTCAAGCGTCTGAGCTCTAAGGCCAAAACAGGAATCGTGTCCGAGATGGTCAAGCCATACCTGTCGTGAAGAGGTTCACGTAAACAACGGCATCGAGACCAGCTGCCGCAACGAGCTGTTCGTCTGTAACTCGAAACGCATCTATCGCCCATTGAAACGGTCCGTACTTGTTACCAAATGGCCCTTCCCCGCGTAAGGCACGCAAAGGGTGATAAACGTGAAAATTCCCCGGTCTACGCGACAAAATCAAAAAGAGAAGAAAAAGAACCACAAATATGACAAAGGATATGACCAAGGACGTGACGAACGCTGCTGTAGCCGTCATTTCGACGGCTTCAAAACACTTCCCTCAACTCCTATCAACACACACACACACACACACACACACACGCACCCTTCCAAACTCAACGATAGCTCCCACGAAACCTGTGGCGCGCAGTACAACCTCAGAAAATAAAAACTACACTCGACCAACCCAGAAACAAGGTTTTCTCTACCCAGAATCCAACGCATTCCTCAACAGCGCATCACACAACCATGTCTTCGTCCTCTCTCCCCTTCCCTACTCCTCCACCCGAACACACTACTTCTCCAGAAAAAAGTTAACAATGTGACCGAATCCTGAAGTGCAAAAAAAAATCTTACTGCAGTCTTATTCTACAGGTTTTCTCCAAGTTCGTTAACATCACGATCCTCTACGAAGTGATGTTTCCGCCATTACTGTAGTCCACCCTTCGTTCAATTCTACTCACTCAGTGGCTGCAACACAGAAAACAAGCAATCGGAATCACTGCGAAAGAAAACATCAGGTGAGATCCACATTGACAGCCACGGTACAACTTATAGAGGAGGAGGAAGGCGGCATAAGGATGAACGTAGAATATCATTCGTCGACGGCGGATTCCGACCTGCGAAAAGAACGACTCCTCAAGAAGTCGGCAGGAACCCGAGTATTCATCCACTTTGAGTCGATTCTGTTCATCGGGTGATGAGGGAACGAATGAGTGAGGCTTGGACGGCGTAGGCAGAGGGTCATTTTCATCTACGAAAAGTAGGTTCTGTTCGTTGGATAGTGAGACGACGAACGAATGAGGCGTGGATGGCGTGGACAACGACGGCCTCGATTTGGACGGAAATTAAATTGTGATCCCCCCATTGGAGGGGCCTCTGATGGACGGAGCCGGGCCTAGCGGAAGGCTCCGTCCGCGTACGCGACGGATTCGATTCGGAGGGGTCGTCTGTCCCGGGGCCCTGGATCCCCGCTTTAGAAACTGCGCTCATGCTTTTCATTTAGCCCCCAAAAAAGTAAACATTTACACTCCGTCGATGTTTATTCATCGTCTGTTCATCCGTGCGATCAGATCTGTCCAGCTCGTGTATGAATGCGCATCCATGAGGGGCATATCTCCCATTTTAACAACAAACTACATTTTTAGAAAGATTCTTTATTTCTCTCTAACCACACACAAACAAATATCTATATATATATATATATCATTTCCACGTTGGCCTTGAATGCATGGATTCCATATCACATGCTTGTTTTTACTGGTATTTCTCCATCAAGGGGCTTTGATAGGGACTCTTTCAACATGGGATAGGTCCTGATTAGGGTTATTAGGTTGGTTGGGGATCGAGGACAGTCACATGTACATGGCATGTGGCCTACATAAGGCAATACAAAGCATGCCCAGTTTCTGTTACCAGCTGGGTGTGCACCCTGAGGGCCTTTGAGCTTCACCTTCTCTTGATGAGAGACCGATTTGGTATCTTTGTTTCTTTAGGGTGTGAGATAATATAAGATACACACTACTTCTTCCTCTCACATTATAAAATGTTGATACTAAGGGTTGTGTTTTGTGTGTCATATTCTGATTCTGTTGTTATCCATGGGTTTTCTGTAATAATTGGAGTTTAAGGCACTTCAATTAAACCATAAGCATATTGAGCATCCAGATCAAAGTTAATGAAATAGGATGTTTGGTGGCATAAAATTACTTGTTTTCAGGAAAAGTGATGACAAATATTAGTTAGAAGACTGCCTGCATATTAGAATTATAACTAGATTGTCTCACAAGTTGAATGGTTTAAACACAATTTCACTAGATAAAATTAAAATTAATAATACATGTGATTTAGAAAACAACCCAGTGTCGTATTTTACTGCAAAAAAACTTGGTGAGAAAAAAACATGACACAGTAACACGGAATAGTCCATAGTGAATTACGTGGTGCATTGATTTCTCAAAAGTGGTAGTTGCGAATGTAGGGTGAGGACTGATCATCAACGAATCTTCAATATATTGCATAAAAATCAGCCAATGTTTTAGTGTCAAATTTGAGAATTCCTACACTAATCACAGTACTTTGTACATGCAACATTGAGAAATACTGTCAGTATGTAGCAGTCTGTGTCATGCTGGGTTTGGCCAGCATATTGTGTGGACGGAAAATCCACCGCCACCATTTTACGCACCACCACACTCCGGTTTGCTTGGATGCGGAACGACTATGGCAGAACAGCGTCAGCCAGAATAGGGCCAAGACAGCTGGATAAAGAAACCCACACCGCTGTAGTTGCCATTATGGATAACTTTACGGCACTTTTATATCCACGCAGCCTGGCTTGTGACCTGCGAGGTACTCAGGATCCTGCTTTTCGCCATAGATGAGCTGACTTTGTCGCCGAGGCTTGAACCGGCTTGCGGGGAATATAATATCCAAGATCCTCGTCCTTCGGCGGGCACTGAGGTGCGTGTAGAACCAAATCCTCGCCCCTACACATCGACGCGTTACGCTGTTTCATGTAACATGCGTTCACAAGGAGACTCACACCGATGTACCCAACTTGAGTTGCAAGATCCCAATCCCCAAGCACCAAACGCTTGTTCGGAAGGGCATTACGAAATCAGAAAGGGACTCTTCTGTCTGTTGGCAGGTAGCTAGTCTGTGACAAATGTGCCTATGCGCAATTCTGCAACAATACAGAGTCTCTTCTTGAATTATGATTGTCACCTGTGGGACCATTAGAATTGAGCGGTATTCTGTGCTAAACACACGATAGGGATACTAAAATAAGATTAAACCCATAATGGATGTAGCGATGGGGGCGTTGTGTCGGTGGGTGGGTTGTGGTCAGGCCACGGCTATCCACAACAAAATGTGGCAACGGCTCTTATCTATTTCGGAATAAGTCAATGTAGGAGTTGTAGCACGAAAGGTGGGCGACGGAGGAATCTGCGTTCCGGTAAAAGTTTAATGTGACAGACCGACCACATGTGTAGACAAATGCACAGTTTGAGGACTGCAGTGCATTTTGAGCATTCCTTGAACGAACGTTGTTGTACATGGTGAAGGATTTCCCACAAAGCACAGATTGAAACTCTGTCCATAACTGTTTCTCATTTATTTATTTATTTTTTTTTTCTGGATTATGCCAGAATAATTGCCCTACACACATGACAACAAGCTAGTGTTGGATTCTCATGTTTGTGTCGCTCAATCTCTGACCCTGTAATCTTAATTTAATTGTAATTCTGTACCTCTCTCTTTCTTTAAATTATATATATATATATATATATATTCATAATATTAGACAACTTGGATACAACACAAAGAAACAAAGAAGTCTTTAGATTGGTTGTAAAGAAGAGAATGTGGGGAATGCAAGGAACATGGGAATCGATGAACAAAGGAACATGAGAATTAGAGAACATAGAAATAAGAGAAGGAACATGAGAATTAGAGAACATAGAAATAAGAGAAGGAACATGAGAACTAGGGAAAGTAATAACATATGATCTAAGGAACATAAGAACAAGGAAATCATGGAGTATGGATGAATAAGGAAATGGATGGATGTGCTAGAGATCATTATGCATATTTATTTGGATAAAATTAAAATCCAATTGTGATACTATAGAGCATTTTAAGGTCTTCTTCATTCATATTATATTATTTATAAAAATTGATTATTATAAAAAATTAGCATTTTTTAAAAATAAGTTGTTAATTTTCTTTTCATAAATCAATAAATATAATTGTATTATGATGCCAAAAATAAATAAATAAATAATGAGTACAAATGATAATTAAAAAAATCAATAAAAAATTTAAACAAACTTTGATTCAATATAGACTAAATTTTTCTTGCTCTAATGTTTTTTAAGAGCCAATTACAATTCAATTTTTTAAAATTCTATACTATACTATATTAATATATTTAAAACTTTATTAAATAGTTTTTATATTTTATCTCAATTTTAAATAATCTTTGTCTTTTTTTTTTTTTTATATATTTGATTCTATTTGTAACATAAGATAAAAATTCATAAAGAAATCATATTGATACTTATTTTGTACCATGTTTAGTATGTATAAGTATATATTTAATTATTTAAATAATAATTTAATTAATATAATAGAATTTTTATAATATAGATGTATTTATTTTATAGATTTAAAATCATATTTTATCTTAAAAAGTATCCTCTATCTAGACTTGTTCATCAACTAAATATAGGAATTTTCAATATATTGTCATGCCTTTTACACTCACAAATATACCAATTTCTTTTTGACATTTAAAGAATGATGTTTTTTTTTTTTTTTTTTTTTTTTTTTTAATAATTTTATAGATAATTTTATTGTTTCATAACTAGATGAAATTTTAAACTATTCTAAGAACACAAAAGAGTATAAATTTCATATTTTTCATGTATTACAAAACTTTAAAGATGGAAGTTTATATTGCAAGATAGAGAAGTGTGTATTTCATACAATTTAAGTTAACTTCTTATGATATATTATTTCAAATGATAGACTTGAGATTGATCCTGAGAAAGTTCAAACTATTATAAATTGAAAGATTAAAAGAACAATAAGATTTTTCAATTTTTTTAAAAATAATACCAATTATTATTAGATTTTTATCATAAATATTTTTCAAGTTGCAATTCCATATAAATATATATTTGACTTGTAAAGACAAACTTGAATAGAGTAAAGAAATAGAAGTATTTTTTGAAGTTTTAAAGACAACTTTTATTTTTGCACCAATCTTATATTGCATTAACTTCTTGAAGGTATTTTTTACAGAAATAAATACATCATATTTTTTCTTAAGGGTAGTTTTGTTACAAATGGAAGGAAATAACAAAATTCTTTCAATAGATTTTTGTTTAAGAGAATTTCTAGCAACCAAGATCAACTATGAGATCTACAATAATTTTTTTTTGTTGTAATTTTGGATTATTTTTAAGAATAACACCATTATATAAGAGATGCTTTTAGTCTAATAATTATTTATATGGATAAAAAGAAACTTAAGCATTTTATGTAATACATGCTTTAAATTATTGTCAAGCTTGTTGGAGCATATTTTTTTCAAGATTTTAATTAAAGATTACTTATCAATTAGAAAAACAACAAAGTTTGTCGGACATATTTTCTAGATATTCTTATTTTGTACCAAAAGAAGAAAATGTAGCCTATCATCAATAACAAAAAATCCTTTTAAAGTCAAAGAAATTTCATCTTTAGGCACTGATATAAAAATTAACTATTGATTTTTTTTTAAAAAAAATTAATTAAAAATTCCTATAGATTCTCTTATTCATGATATGAAGAATAATTTATCTAAATCTTGTGATATATCTAATTTTGAGTTCAAGAACGATCTATTCTATTTTAAAGAATACTTATATATTCCAAAAAATGAAGCATAACTATGTATTTTTTAAGCTTCTCATAATTTTCCAATTGTAAGATATTTTGAATAGAATAAGATCTTAGAATTAACTTCTAGAGATTTTTGATAACCTCTAATATAGA